AGCGCATTAATTTTTACAAATTGAAACTATTTTCCAAAAAAAAATTTTATATTGAGCATATAAACTTATATTTTATGGGAAAAACTAAACACTACAAGTTAGTTTTTAATTAAAAATTATAATAAAAAAAAAAAAGTGTGTGGTGGGATTATAATTTAGTTTTTTATTTTTTATTATTTATTAATTTCTTTTTTTTTTTTTTTAAAAATTTTTTTTTTTTTTTTTTTTTTTTTCCAATCATTCTTTATAATTTCAAAATAATAGAATCAAATAATAATACTTAAAAAAAAAACAATTAAAAAAAAAAAAAAAACTTATTATTAAAGGTGGAGATTATAGGGATGAGCCATTAAAAGCAACACAAGCTTACCTCGTATCGGGTTAGAAATTAGAAGAGATTATTGGAACGTGTTGGTATGAAAAATATAGAAGCTTTAAAAGAAATTATAGATTCTTTATTATAATTCAATAATAATAAAAAAAAAATTAAAAAAAAATAAAAAAAAATAATTAGTTTTTGTATTTCAAAATTTCGAAATATGATATGTAAATTATGTAATGATATTAATAATTTATTCATTAATCACAAAAAAGAATGCTATTATATACAAAAAAAAAAAAGCTATTACATTTGTAAAATAAAAAAATTGATTTATAAATTAAATTTTTTATAAATAAAAATAATATAACAGTCTCTCAAGTTTCCGAATCACACACGAATTGATGTTACCGTGCCCTAAAAATTTAAAATAAATTTTTAAAATTAATACTATTCTATACCAATGTATAGTAATTATTTTTATTTTTTTTTTTTTTTTTTTTTAAAAAAGCTTACTTAATAATATAATAAATATTATTAGTGTAAGCGACGGTGTTTATTTATATTAAAATATAAGAAGAAGTGGGTGTTGGGGTAAGGTTGGAACAACCTATCTAGTTTAAGATTTTTTTTTTTCTTAGATTTTTGTTCAATAGCAGGTGATTTCGGACTGCCTGATTGGTACGGAGTGTTTTTGATTGGTGTGGATATTTGGCTAACATTTCAAGTACGGTTTTTTTTTGAGGTGGTATTCATATTTGTTATGGCGGTTTTATTTTTTGCTTGTCTAGTTTTTTTTTTTTTAATCTTTGTACCCAATTCGTTCTCCGAAAAGATAAAAACATAAAAAATGACTCCCCGTCCGGGAATTGAACCCGGGCCTTTCGCGTGACAGGCGAAAATCCTCACCACTAGACCAACGGGGAAGTTGATGAAATTTTATTTTTTCATATTGTTCATGTCTCAAAATTTTTTTTTTTCAGGTTAGAGAAATTTGGCAAGATGCATGGAATTCAGATATATTTTGAGTGAAAATACCTATACACCTGGTAAGTTATAGAAATTTATCGATGAATTTTAAATAAAAATTAAATAACTAAAATTTTTCAACAAAAATTAAATAACTAAAATTAAATAATCGAAATTAAATTTTTTTAAAAAATAAATTAATAAAAGTCATGTTAACCTTTGCGCCATTCTTATTGAAGGGGTAAGTCAAAAAATTGTGCTTAGAAGTTAATACAAAAAATGTCTCAAAATTTTAAGAGGCAAACCAAGAAATTTAAATTATACAACTTATAAAGCCACCTAACATTATCGATGAAGTTAAAACAAAATAAAAAACAACAATTTCAATAACCATTAATGGTTACTTTAATTATTGATTTAAATCATTATAAAAAGTTATCTCGTATGTACACCCCCAATATTTTATTTAATTATTTGTATAATTAGCAAGATAGTATTAAGTTTTTGGGAAAAAAAAATATTTTATACATTAAATATTTAATTTATTATTTTATTTAAATATTTATTTTTCCGCGATTTATAAAAATTTATTAAAAGTATATTCTTTACTAATTGAAGCAAATTTTTCAGGGAAATCTTCTCTTGGACCCTTTGAAAGTCTACCATGATTACCACATAATGATTGATCTTTAATAAATAAACGGTCAGTTTTGTCATGTGATGGATTATTATCGAAATCGTAATATAAAACCAAATTTTGATAAATTTTAAATCTTTTTAATTTTTCTTCCGAGATTGACAATGGTTTATCTGTTTGACCTTCGAAACCAACAATATTATAATCTAAAGAAGGCTTATCCCAAATTAATTGCTTGATGTCTTGTTGAGATAATGACTTGTTGAAAATCATTATATTATCTAACTTACCATGGAATGAATGAGAATCTGGACCATTGCTTGTTCTACCAATTACCAATGGATGGCGGTTCTTTTTAGTTGGTGTGAAATTATCGTATACTGCGTCTTTATTACCGTTAATATAGAAACGTACTCTATTCTTATGTACATCAAAGTTATTACAATCGAATACGACTGCGACGTGATACCACAGATCATTTGAAATTGAGTTATGGCTTTCAAAGCAGTTATCACCAGCACAAAGACGAACAACCCCACGACCTGATTCTGTTTTTTGAATATCAAAATTAAAACCATCAATTTTACCAGCTTGATTTTTATCCAATATTCTTTGATCACCAAATGACAATGGTCTAACCCATGCCATTAATGTGTAATGGTCTTGTAAATTTAGTGAGCCTTTGCATGGGCTATTGTCTTGTTGAACTAAAATATGATCTCCTAAACCCTTCATCTCCAAGTATAGTGGTGTGTAGTGACTAAAAGAATGATCTACTGACATTGTTGATAAACGGTAGTCTCTATCTGCTTTTGTTAAATGCTTGCTTAACTCTTGACAAATTTTGCACTTTGTATTGATAGAGTTGATACAACGTTCTAATTTATCTATTACCTTTGGTTCCAATTCGCCCTTTTCTTTCCATTCAAAAAATCTCTTATAATCTACTTTTCCATCTTTAATATCTTTAATATATTTTATTACTTGATCAATAGTTTTGAAATCATTTAGATTTATTATAGATCCACTTGGTACCCAATTACTAATATCCTTTGTGCCCATATATATCTAAGAAAAAAAAATATTAATAAATTTATTACATATATTTATAATATTAAATAGATTTTAATACATACAGGTATGGCACCAGCGTACAAAGCTGTAAATACTTTTTCTGTAATATAATTTGTTGAGTTATCATTTTCAAAACAAATGACAAATTTATATTGCTTGTAAATATTCATATTATATTGAATTCTTTCATAGAGATTCTTGATTTGTGATTTTTTTTTAATAACAAGGTTTGTATTTGCTAAACAACTACCTAATGATTCAATTTGCAGTTTCTTTGACATGATTTCAACAAGTTTCTACATATTTAATAAATAAATAGTATTAGTATTAGTGTTAGTGTTATGAATGTACTATTATATTTAATAAATTAATTAAAAGTGCTTACAGTTCTAATTGAAGATAAACCGTCATTGCAATTTGATGAAATAAATACCATTGATTTCCTTTTAATAAAATCATCATCAGAGTGTTTGTTCAATAACAAATCCATTGTATTTTTGATGGAGTATGATGAATTGGGTGGACATGCTAGTGTAATATCTAAATCTTTAAATGTACTATTATAATATGAAATTCTGAGGTCCATTAAATTGTTATAACTATCACTATTTAAAATTGAATATTCTGATTTTGCTTTATAATGCATTAGACCGAATTTTTGATGAGGATGTTTCTCTGGCAAGCTTAGTGGTATTCTCTTCCAATTATCTTTATCTAAATAATATGGATCGAATAAAATTAAATGTGACTCTACCAACTCTTCTTGAACATTTGTAAATTTACATGATACTGGACAAACATTATTTTCATTGATTTCTATAATATCACCAGATTGCTGCTGCTGATTTAATATTTGCTCTTTTTGATTTTGTTTACTATTTTTATACTCTTTGATTTGTTCCTCTGTCAACAAGTAATTTGATTTTAAAATTGAAGTCCAATCACTATCCTCAGATACGGGGTCCCATAGAAACACTACAATTTCATTTTGTTTTCTACTGTCTAATAAATGTTTTGATACATATAAAGGATCTTGATATAAATTTAAATTGGGATTATATATTTGAATTTTAAATTCGCTATAAAATAACATTACAACAATTGATATTGTAATTAATAAAAACATTATCATAAATTTATGTTTTCTACTAATATTGTATATATAACCATTTCTTTTTTTTACTCCATTGTTACTATTATTATTACTATTACTAATTAAACTAGTTGTTGTGCTTTCTTTATCACTTGTCATTTTTTTTATTATTATTATATATTATTTATCATTATTTTTTTTTTAGTGTATGTGAGTTTAGTTATTATTTCAATGGGATAATCTATGATAGTAATTCTTTAATGATTAAATAAAAAAAAATAAATAAAAAGCGCAGTTATTATTGTAATATTTAAATAATTTTTAAAAAAAAAAAAAAAAAAATTAAAATACAAATTTTTAAAAATAAATATTGAATGTGTGTTTGTGTGGGTGTGGGTGTAATTGTGTTTTAATTTATGATTTGAAAAAAAAATTATAGTTTATTATTGGATAATAGGTACAAAACAATTCTAAATATATTAAATGAAAGAAAAAAAAACACTGCTATAGTTGATATGAGGGGTACATAGATTTAATAAACTTTTGAAACACAACAAATTTGATTATTTTTGAATTTTAAAACAATAAAAAAAAAAAAAAAAAAAAAAAGTTTTTTTTAATTTTTGAAAATTTTTTTTGAACGAATAATTTTCTGAATAATTTATTTTATTTTTTTAAATAAAAAGATTATTTAAAAAAATATAAAAAAAAGAAATATATTATATAAATATTATTTGTCATTTATTTATTAATTTTTATTTTTATTTTAATTATTTTTTTATTTTATTTTTATTATTATAATCATTTTTTTTTTTTTTAATTTATAATTTCGATTTTTTTTTTTTCTTGATATTAGAAAAAATAAACAAAACATCAATTGTTTACAATTTGAAAAAAAAAAAAAAAAAAAAAAAAAGGTTCAATTATTTAATTGGAATAACATAGGGAAATAATTTATCATAATAATTTCAAATCACCACCCTTAATTAAGAAAGATATCATAATTTTTCAATGTATTATTTTTTCAAAAATTATCTTTTTTAGTGTTGTTGCAAACAAATTTTTTTTGGACTGATAGCAATTTAAGAAAAAAATAAAAAAAAATAAAAAAAATAAAAAAAAATAAAAAATTTAATAAAAACGGACCGTTTTTTTTTTTTTTTGATTTATTTTTCATTTTTTTTTATTTTTTCGCTTTGACGTTGACATTAATTCTATTAATATAACTGACCAGGAAAAATTTGATTTATTTTGGCTTTTATTCACATTATATTTCCAATTTTGGTCGAATGAGGAAATCATGAATTTGTATGTTAGTGTTATTATTTTAATATTTTTTTTTTTAAATTTTTTAAATATTTTAAAATTTATTATAAATTTAACACTGAAAATCTTTTATTTTTTTTTTTTCTTTATAATAAAAACAAATAATTTTAAAAATAAAAATCTATTTATCTATTTTAAACCAAATAAATAAATATTTTTTTAGTTTGACAAAAAAAAAAAGATCAAGGAAAAAAAAAAAAAAAAAAATTTTAAAAAATAAAAATAGTTATAATTAAAAATGTCAAGAGAATATGAATTAAACAATTTACCAAATTTAGATAGTGGTGGGGATTATGGTGGAGATAATAACAATAATAATAATAATAATAATAATATTGTAGGCGCAAATTTAAGTGATTCAAATGAAAGCAATGATGAATTACCAATCACAGTTTCAAGAGGTTTGGATAATTTTAATAAGGTTGCAGACGAACTTGAAAAGGAATATAAGGATTATGTTACCCACGAACATGCATTAAAGGATATTGAAGCAACCTATGAGGAGACTGAGGAAGATTTCAAGTTACGTAATTATTTCGAAAATTCCCAGCGTATGGCACTCGAAAATGGGGGTAAACCTAAAAAGATGGGTGTTATCTTCAAGAACCTTACTGTTGTTGGTAAAGGTGCCGATGCTTCTATTATTTCAGATTTATCAACTCCTTTTATTGAATTATTTTCATTATTAAATCCAAAGAAATGGTATGTATAAAAAGGAATATTTATTTTAATTTTAATATTTAAATAAATTTTATTATTTAAATTTAAATTATTTAAATTTCATTTTTTTTCTTCATTTCAAATTTTTATATTAATTATTTTTATTTTTATATAAAGGAAATCCAATACATCAACATTCGATATTTTACATGATGTTACCGGATTTTGTAAGGATGGCCAAATGTTATTAGTCCTTGGTAGACCAGGTTCAGGATGCAGTACTTTGCTTCGTGTAATTTGTAACCAAAGAGAATCCTATGTTAAAGTAACTGGTGATGTTACATACGGTGGAATTCCAGCAACAGAATGGGGTCGTTATAAAGGTGAAGCTATTTATATCCCAGAAGAAGATAGTCATTACCCAACACTCACCGTTCGTGAAACTTTAGATTTTGCACTTAAATGTAAAACACCATCAAATCGTTTACCTGAAGAGAAGAAGCGTACCTTCAGAAGTAAAATCTTTAGTTTATTATTATCAATGTTTGGTATTGTTCATCAAGCTGATACCGTAAGTTATTTTAGTTTTATTATTTTATTTTTATTTTTATTTTTAATATTAACAATTATTTAAATTATTTATAGATGGTTGGTAATGAATTTGTAAGAGGTTTATCAGGTGGTGAAAGAAAAAGAATTACCATTGCAGAATCTATGGTTGCAGCATCATCAATTAATTGTTATGATTGCTCCACTAGAGGTTTAGATGCAGCATCAGCTTTTGATTATGCTAAATCTATTCGTATTATGTCTGATTCATTACACAAAACTACAGTTGCAACCTTTTATCAAGCATCTGACTCAATTTTCAATTTATTTGATAAAGTCCTAATTTTAGAAAAAGGTATGTTATATTTTAGTTGTTTCTTATGTTTTTTTAATGTGTCATATTATTAATACATATTTTAATTTAATATAGGTCGTTGTATTTATTTTGGTCCAACTAGTATGGCCAAAGAATACTTTTTAAATTTAGGTTTCCATTGTGAGGCAAGAAAATCAACACCAGACTTTTTAACAGGTGTTACAAATCCACAAGAAAGAAAGATTCAAGAAGGTTTTGAGGGCAGAGTTCCAGAAACTTCAGCTGATTTTGAAACCGCTTGGAAAAACTCAGCATTATATCAACAACAACTCGAAGAGCTCGAAGTTTATGAAAAGAAAGTTGAAATCGAGCAACCAAAAAATAATTTCATTCAAGAGGTTCGTTCACAAAAGAGTAAAACAACATCAAAGAAATCTGCTTATACTACCGGTTTCTGGGCTCAAGTTCTTGCTCTTACTATTCGTAATTATCAAATTATTTGGGGCGACAAATTCTCATTAATTTCTCGTTATTTCTCAACTATTATCCAAGCTATTCTCTATGGAACCTTATTCTTTAAAATGACAAATACTACCTTAGATGACGCTTATAATAGAGGAGGTGCTCTTTTTTGTACCATTCTTTTCAATGCATTATTATCTGAACAAGAATTACCAATAGCATTTTATGGTCGTAGAATTATTCAAAAACAACGTAGTTATGCAATGTATAGACCATCTGCTCTACATCTTGCTCAAGTCGCTACAGATATACCAGTTATCTTTGTTCAAGTGTTCCTCTTTTCATTCATTGTCTATTTTATGTATGGTTTGGAGCTCAGCGGATCAAAATTCTTTATATTTGTATTCACTTTAATTGGTTTCAGCTTATGCTTCAACAATCTTTACCGTCTTTGGGGCAACTTTACACCATCAGTCTATATCGCTCAAAATATTATGAATGTGTTGGTTATTACTCAATTCACTTATTCTGGATATTATATTCCATACGAAAAGATGAATAGATCACTTCAATGGTACTACTGGGCTAATCCAATCACATACGCCTATAAAGCATTAATGGCAAATGAATTTGCTGATATGAAGTTTGATTGCTTAGAAATGATTCCATACAGCAACGAGGTAAACTCTACAACTTATAGTGATCCAGCTTATAGAGCATGTCCAACTATTGCCGCCGATCCAGGTCAAAACTCTTTCTATGGTTCATCCTATTTATCAAAAGTTATGGATCTAAAATCAAATGATTTGGCTCTTAATGTTTGTGTTGTTTATCTTTTCTGGGTACTTTTCATTGTTATCAATTGTATTGTAATGGAGTTCTTCGATTGGACCAGCGGTGGTTATACATCTAAGGTTTGTATTATTATAATTTAATTCTCTTTTAAAAATAAATAGCATTTTATTAACTCATTTTCTCAAAATAGGTATATAAAAGAGGTAAAGCACCAAAAATGAATGATGTAGACGAAGAAAAAAGACAAAATGAAATGGTTGCAAATGCTACAAGTAATATGAAGGAAACTCTCAAAATGCCAGGTGGTATTTTTACATGGCAAAATATTAACTATACCGTTCCAGTTCCAGGGGGTACAAGATTATTATTGGATAATGTCGAAGGTTGGATCAAGCCAGGTCAAATGACTGCATTGATGGGTTCATCAGGTGCTGGTAAAACTACTTTACTCGATGTTTTAGCTAAAAGAAAAACAATTGGTGAAGTTAAAGGTAAATGTTACCTTAATGGTAAAGCTTTAGAAATGGATTTTGAACGTATTACTGGTTATGTTGAACAAATGGATGTTCATAATCCTGGTTTAACTGTTCGTGAAGCCCTTAGATTCTCAGCTAAACTTCGTCAAGAGCCACATATTCCATTAGAAGAAAAGTTTGCTTATGTAGAACAAGTTTTAGAAATGATGGAAATGAAACATTTAGGTGACGCTTTAATTGGTGATTTAGAAACTGGTGTTGGTATCTCAGTTGAGGAAAGAAAACGTTTAACTATTGGTGTAGAATTAGTTTCTAAACCTCATATTGTAAATATATTTTATATTATTTATCTTTTCATTTTAATGTTTATATTAATTGTTTATTATTTTTATTACAGCTTTTCCTTGATGAACCAACATCTGGTTTAGATGCCCAAAGTTCTTACAATATCATCAAATTTATTCGTAAACTTGCAGATGCTGGAATGCCATTGGTTTGTACAATCCATCAACCATCAAGTGTATTGTTTGAACATTTTGACCGTATTTTACTTTTAGCAAAAGGTGGTAAAACTGTTTATTTTGGTGATATTGGCGAAAAATCAAGTGTTCTTTTATCATATTTTGAACGTAATGGTTGCAGACCATGTAGCGAAAAAGAAAATCCAGCTGAATATATGTTGGAGTGTATTGGTGCAGGTGTTCATGGAAAAAGCGATAAAAATTGGCCAGAGTTATGGAAGGAATCCAATGAATATAGAGAAATCGAAAATGAATTACTTTCCCTTGAAGCTGCTGGCCCAATTAAAGGTCATGTAGATAATGGCAAACCACGTGAATTTGCCACTTCACTCTTTTTCCAAACCTGGGAAGTTTATAAACGTCTTAACCTCATTTGGTGGAGAGATCCATTCTATACTTATGGTACTTTAATCCAGTGTGCATTGGTAAATATTTTACATTATATATTAATTGTAAAAAAAAAAGTAAATATTAATATTTTTTTTTAATTCATAGGTTGGTTTGATGACAGGTTTTACTTTTTGGAATTTAGGTAATTCATCAACAGATATGAATCAACGTGTTTTCTTTGTATTTGAAGCAATTATTCTTGGCATTTTATTTATGTTTTTAGTTTTACCACAATTTATTACCCAAAAAGAATACTTTAAACGTGATTATGCAAGCAAGTTTTATTCATGGCTCCCATTCGCTGTTAGTATTGTCGTTGTCGAATTACCATTTGTTTTAGTATCTGGAACTATTTTCTTCTTTACATCATTCTGGACTGCTGGATTAGAGAGTAGCAATTCAAATAACTTTTATTTCTGGTTAATGTTCATCATGTTTATTTTCTTCTGCGTTTCATTTGGTCAAGCTGTTGGTGCCGTATGTTTTAATCTTACATTTGCTCTTAATGTGTTACCAATTTTAATTGTATTCTTTTTCCTCTTCTGTGGTCTTATGGTCCGTCCTGATGATATACCAATGTTTTATCGTGAATGGATATACAAACTTAACCCATGCACATACTTACTTGAAGGTCTAATTACAAATGTATTAAATCATGTCAATGTCAAATGTTCTTTAGACGATTTAGTAAAGTTCACAAAGTCACCTTTATATTCAACATGTGAAGAATATGCATTCGAATTTATCAATGGTACAACTAAAGGTACAGGTTATGTCGAAACAATCAACGAATTAACAAACGAATGTGGTTATTGTGCATATAAAAGTGGTCCAGAATATTTCGAAAATCATTTAGGTTGGTCATACTCCAACAGATGGCGTAACTTTGGTATAGTAACATCATTCTTCTTTTTCAATTCATTCTTAGTTATTATTTTTGTATACATAACAAGAAAAGGTAAAAGATAAAAATATTACTCTTCATTTGGATGAGGGAGTAATTATCAAATACCTCATTAAATTATAAAAATAAAATATTAAATTTATAAATAGATTATTTATAATTAACTTTACATCAAAAAAAAAAAAAATTCATTTTTTTTATTATGTTGGATCAACAAAATATCTTGTATTTAAATATCTTTAAAAAAATTTCAATTTATAAGGTACCAGTTAGACCCTAATTTTTAAAAATAGTTTATTAATAATAAAAAATATAATTATATAAAAGCAATAAAACAAAATAACAATATTAATTATTAGTATAGGGTTGGTGCATTGTAGGGGTTAACACTAAAGCACTTTAAAGATATAGAAAGCTTTGTATTTTTGTGTTCTTTGGTATTTTATTTTATGGTTCCATTTAATTATTATTTTTTTTTTTTTTTTTTTTTTTTTTTGATTTATTTTATGGTCACTTTAAAGTTTTTTATATAATCTCTTATTTTATTTTTATTTGTTTTTTTATAATTATTTTTAAAATATTATATTTCTTTTTTTATAAAAAAATACAATGAAATAAAATTTTTATTTATTTTATTTTAAAATTAAAATACATATAACTATTAAATATTTAAAATAAAAATGTATAAAAAATATTTATATATAATAATATTTTATATTAAAATAGTCTTATCAAATTCAAAAAATCTAGATCAAAAAAATGAAGGTTCAATAACTGAAATCGATGAGTTTAAAAGTGATGGATTTGAAAAGGTAATAAAGATAGTGGCTCCAATAATAATATTAGTTTTATTTCTATTTACAATGGTTTCAATAATTTTAATTAAAAGAAAACAATTTCAATCTATAAAAGATCAAATTACCGATATCAAAAAAATCCAAGATGATAATAGCTTTAATGAAGATTGTGAAAGTGCAAAGTGTGAAATAATGACAATAAAAAGTTGTTCATCCTATTAAAAAATATAAACAAATAAAAAGTTATATAAACTTAGTAAAAATAAAAATTAAATAAATATTACTATATTATTTTATTTTAAATAATTTATCAATTATTTGAGTGGTGTTAAATAAAAGATAATAATTTAAATGTGTTAATAAATAAAATGATTAATAAAAATTATTAAATATACTTTAAAAAGGGTATCATTTTATATGGACCACAAAATGTTCAAGTATTTTATAAGTGTGTTGATGGGGTGATATTTATATTTTATAATATAATTATATTATTATAATTTAATATGTACCTTTAAAAATTTGTAAGTATAGTTATTAGTGTACTTTTGTTTTTTATATTTTAAATATTAAGGTTATTAATATTAATATTATTATTAATTTGTTATCTTTTATTTTTATCACATTAATGTGATCAATTAAAAGTGAAGAGTTTATATATCACAAAGCTTTGGTTATTTATATTCTTTTTAATTTTCCGAAACCTTTTTTAAAAGTTTATGGCCAGGTTTTCCAACCCCACTATTAAATTTTAAAAAAAACCCTCTAAAAATCAACAAATATTTAAAAACTATATTTTGAAAAAAAAAAAAATAAACATAATGTTTATATTATTTTATTTTATTTTATTTTTATTTTATTTTTATTTTATTTTTTCTATATATATATTTTATTTACAATTCTGAATTATGGATTGAAATTGATAACATATTTTCAGTATTACAACCTGATTTACCTATTGACTATATGGAATAAAAAAAAATAAAAAAATCTATATTAATACTTAACATGTAAAATAAATCTATAAAATCGAAAAACTAATATCATACAGCTTTAAAATCTTCATAATCTAATTTTCCCTTTCCATTTACATCGGCTTCATTTAATGTTTCTTCAACAATACTTGAAATTTGTTCTTTTGTTAAATTTTTACCAACCATCATTGTTAAAATAGTTTCTATTTCGTCCCTTGTTATAAATCCGTCATTGTTTATGTCATAAATTTTAAAAAGAACTGTTGTAAAAAATTGTGTTAGTATGACTATACCCTGTTGGGTTCAATCTGTGCTTTGAAAATATTTACTTTTAATTTTATCTGTTTTATCTGCTTTTGGATGAAATGCTGAGAGGGTTTTAACAAATTGTTTGAAATTAACTTGACCATCTCTATTTACGTCAAAAATTGATATGATTCTTGGTAACATTGGGTTCATTGATAACTCTGGAATCTGATTAAAATCTTCTACATTTATCGAGCCTTTTTCTTCTTTGTCTAATCTTTTAAATCTTTTATATAGTTTTTTAATTTCTCTTTGTGTAACTGTAAATAATAATAATAATAAAAACAATATTATAAATTAATAAATATTATCTTACATATGATTATATTATTTATATTAATTTTACATAATAATGAATCCTCTCTAATCTCTTCGATCTCTTCTGTTCTTAAAGTTGATTTATTTACACCCATTTTATATTTTATTGTTTATATCAATTTGATATAAATTAAAAAAAAAAAAACAAAAAGATAATTAATGAAACAAAATGAACAAAAAAAAAAATTAATATACACAAACTGATCTTTAACAAAAAAAATAAAAAAAAAAAATTTAAAAAAAATTTAAAAAAAAAAAAAAGATTTTATTTTTAAATTTAAAAAATAAAAAAAAAATAAAAAAAATAAATAAATAAATAGGACCTAATTAAGAAATAAATAGTTATATAATGTATATCTTTATTTAATTTTTTTATATTAATTATGTCTAAAGAATTTTAGACTGAGCCAATTAAAGTAAACGGTCGCAACTGTTACAGGAACTAATGCAGGTATTAATAAACAATAATACCAATCGTATTTTATGAAATCTAAGATTCTATTGCCTGTATCAGGTAATAATTTTGAAAATATTAAACAATAAGTTGTAACTATAAAGAATGTTAATGTACATATAATAATTATCCAACCATAAAAAGCTGTTAAATCGTGATTTGCGGTATTGTTTCTTTGTAATGGTTTATATTTTTTTCTAACTGGTGCATTATTATTATTTATTGGTAATTGTGAGGGTGATGTTGGTGATTGATTATGGCTGTGGTGGTATTGTTGTGATGGTTGCTGTGGTTGGGATGGTTGGGGTGTTGTTGGTTGTTGTTGTTGGTTTGTTAAATTTGTGTTTGTTTGTTGTAAACCAAGTTGTTGGGGTATACTGGGCGATAGGGTTTGTTGTACTTGGGTTGAAATAGCTGAAGCGGAGGAAGAGGAGGTAAGGCTTTGGGTTGTTTGTGATTGTGGTTGTATATTTAAATTATTAGAACTTGTATTTACATTCGGTGCTGTAGTCGCTGTATTTGCAGTTGTACCATTTTGTTGTTTGTTTAAATTATTATTATTATTATTGTTGATACTATTATTACTATTACTATTATTGTTATTACTATTACTATTATTTAATGGTGAATTTGGTAATAAATTAATGTTACCATTACTATTATTTAAATAACTGGAATTATTAACACTACCACTACTTGTATTCATTAATCTATTCCTTATTCCATATAGTGATGGTGAGGTGCTTGGTATTAAAGGTGGTGATGAAGATGCAGAACCGTGTTGATGTTGTTGCTGTTTGCTTAGCTGTATGTTTATATTATTAGAGCTAATTATTGTGGTGGGAGAGGTTGACATTTTTTATTATATAAATATTGTATTGCGTTAAGATAACTCTTTGATTTCTTTGAAATCGATTTTTTGATAATCCAAAAATATCTGTATTTTTAGTATGTAAAATTTCAAAGAATCATGATAAATAAAAAAAAAAAGAAAAAAAAAATAATTTAAAAAAAAAAATAAAAAAAAATAAAAAAAAATAAAAAAATTATTTTTAAAAAAAAAAAATAAAAAAATTCATAAATTAAAAAATTTAAATCTTTATTTATTTACTTTTTCACACTTTCTTTATATTTTTTTTTTTATTCAAATAATATTTATAATGAAGACATCAAATTTAAGAGTTTGCTCCTATAACATCAGATATGACAATATCGATGATAAACAAAATCAATGGGTATACAGAAAAATGTTGGTTTTTTCAAATATTGCATTTTTAAAACGTAGGTACTGGTAATATATAAATACCATTTACAAAAAAAAGAAAAAAAAAATTAATAATTAATTATATTATAGCCCATATCATTGGATTCCAAGAATGTTTATTTAATCAAATAAATGATTTAAAAGAAGGTCTATTAGAAAAATTCGGAATGAATTATGATTATATCGGATTAGGTAGAGATGATGGTGAAAAGAATGGTGAATTTTCACCAATATTTTATAATACTGATAAGGTGGAATTAGTACATTCACATCAATTTTGGATCAGTGAAACACCATATAAGCCAGGTACCAAAAGTTGGAAAACTGCATGCCCAAGAATTGTAACATGGGGATTATTTAAATTCAAAAAATCAAATAAATTATTTTACTTTTTAAATACCCATTTAGATCATTTATCTGAAAGTGCAAGATACGAAGGTACTTTGATGATTAAAAGTTTTATTGCAACTTTAAAGCCCCAAATTCCGTTAGTTTTAGTAGGCGATTTCAATTCTAATGAATATCAAAAGCCAATCATTAATATAGTCAGTTCAAGTATTGATATCATTAAATCCAAAAAGTATTTAGAATTATTAGAAATTCCTTTAAGAGATGATATATTATTCCAAACTTTATTTAATGCCAGAAATGTAGCAAATTGTAAAATTGGACCAGATCGTAAGTTTAATCAATTGATTATTATACAACTTTAAATAAATATTAATATATTGATTTATAGATACATTCACAGGATTTAATGGACAGTTTACAGAAAATATAGATTATATTTTTATTAATCAACAGTTTAAAACAACATCATTTATTGTATTTAATAATCACCCCTCAAAAATTACAAAAAGTTCTACAATTGCATCTGATCATTTCCCAATCATTGCAGATCTTCAATTTTTATAAAAAATAATCAATGTAATACACAAATAATTTAAATAATAAAAAGGTTTTTTTTTTTTTATTATTTTTTTACAAAAAGATTTCTAATTTTATTTATTTAATTAGTTAATTTATTTATTTATTAAATTATATAATGGGTGAAACATTATATCAAAGAATTTTTTATCGATATATTCAATTTTAGAAAGTAGATCTTTTTTGTTTAGTTTTTCGCCATTTAACATTGTTATATATTGATCATCTGATGAATTTTTTAAAGAGAAATACAAACAAAAATATGATTGAACGTGGTTGGGGTTGATTTGGATTGTTTTTATACATAGTTCGTTTCTGGTCATATTTGTGTTGTTTAATAGAGTTACACTTTCATCAAAACCTAAATAATATGCCAATTGGAAATAATTGTTGTAGTCAAATGGATCAGAGTCTATTGCCTTGGTACATTGCTCGATATTGTTTATTTTTTGACCATGTGCTGTTTGCATATTTGCCATGTCTAAAAATAATTGACCTGTTGTAATATCGAATAAATAGTCTGCATGCACATATAATGATTTTAAGTATACATCTCTTGTTTTAATTCTATATCCATTAATTTTAGCTATCATTTCTAATGCGTTTTGATGGGATGCCATATGGGTTGCTAAACCGAAATAAAATTGTGCTACATATGGGGAGAGTTCAATACTTTTAATAAAGAGATCTTTTTTGCCGGTATGTAAACCATCTGGTAATTTAATTGATTCATTTGGACCTAATAGCTGACCTAATAAAAAGTATGAATGTGCCATTCTTGGGTTAATAGATATTGATTTTAATAGCAGCTGTTGTCTTGTGAAGGCACGACCATTTAATAGTTGAACTGATTCTAATGGCTCGGGTAAATATAGTGCAGTCTTGTAATATGCAACGGCATTCTTTGCAAATACATCGATCGATTTAATGTAGAGATCCAGTTTATTCATTAGCTGGCCATCATTCATCTCTGCATTGTTATATACTACAACGGTGTCATTAATTGTCATTTCATCAGCTAAATAAATATATGATTTTGAATTCTTTGGATCTAATGATATACATTTGATGAATAAATCTCTTTTGTTCATATTCTCGGTGCAGCCTCTTAGTTGGATAACATCTGAGCTTGTTAAAATCATTGCCAAGTTGAAATAGGTGTTTGAATTGTTGGGTTCTAATTCCATACTCTTGCAGTATAAATCTTTTTTGGATAACACAAGACCATTTAGCAATTTGATTACTTCGTTATTCTTTAAAATACTAATTAAACCATTGAATAATCTGGCATCATATGCATTTAGATCGATTGCTTTGATATATAACTCTTTTTTACCAATTTTTTGACCATTGATTAATTTTACTTGTTCATTAAGTTTTAGAGAGTTTGCCAAGTTGTAATAATGAATCCATTGATCTGGTTCTAAATCTATAATCTTGGTGAATATATCTTTTTTTGATAACTTGTTTCCATCCTCTAATGTGATCTTTTCAATAAAGTTTACATTCTTTGCCAAATTAATGTAGATTCTGGGAATAGTGCCATCAATTCCAATACATCTTATATACAAGTCTTTTTTATTCATTATTTTGCCATTCTTTAATTCTACAGTTTCATTTGTTTTTAAACAATTTGCCAAGTTATTATATGCCATTAGATTGTTATTTGGATCAATTGAAATGGAGTTTATATATAATTCTTTTTTATTCATTTTTATCCCATTTAAAAGTTGGATTTTATCATCATTATTTGAAAGGAAAAGTGCTAAATTGTTGTAACCATTTGCATTTTGGGGATTGCAATCTATACTCTTTAAATATAAATCCTTTTTAGACATTTTTGTACCATTTAATAAACAGATGATTTGATGTTTATCTACATGAGCTGCCAAGTTGTTATATGCATTTGAACTATTTTCATCGCAGTCAATGGCTTTTAAGTAAAGATCGATTTTTGTTAAAACGCTACCATTCATTAGTGTTACGGTGGAATCAGTTGTTATAGATGCAAGATTGATATATGGATTAGAATAGTTTGGGTTTAGATCGATTGATTTTCGGTATAGATCTTTTTGATTCATTTTTTGACCATTTAATAATTGAATAACTTCATTTGGTTTAATATTTAAACCCAAATTGTTATATGCAAATGAGTGATTTGGATGAAAGTGGATATATTTTATAAATAAATCTTTTCTCTTCATTACGATGGAGTTTGACATAATAATTGTATTTGTTTTTAAATTCTTTGCCAAGTTATAATATGCTAATGAATAGTTTTGATCTGTTTCGATGGCTTTTACAAATAATTGAATTTTGTTCATCTTTTTACCACTGGGAAGTGTAACAAGCTCCTCTTGATTGTCTAACCCCATTGCTATATTATAATAACAAAATGCATTGGTAGGATTTAATTGTATAGATTTTAAATATAAATCATTCTCTGTTACCGTGGTTCCATCATAAAGTTTTAGTGACTTTTCATTTGGTGTTTCTGACATTGTAGTTGCCAAATTAAAATATGATATAACTGAGTTTTTATTTATTTCTATAGACTTCATATAAAAAGATTTTTTGCTATATAAACCATTTTTTGGTATTAATTCTATAAAATAAAAGTATTAATAAAAATTATTGAATATTAATTTTTTAACCTTAAAGCTCGACTTACCTCTAATTTTATTTTTTAAATAATTTAAGTATTGAATATCTTTACAATTTGAAAAAAAGTTGTGATTAAATCTAACACGAGTGTCTTTCTTTTTGATACTGTCACTGCTTTTAATATTGTTGAAACTTGCACTTTTTTGATCTGCCAGTTGTGATTGAATCTGGCTTTGTCTAACCTTTTGCAACATTACCATTTCAATTTTATAGTATAAGGCATTGAAAAATATAAGATTATAGTCATAAACTTGATGGCTTTTATGTACTTTATCACTCTTACATGATGAACATACTAAAACTTTACAATCCCCACAATATAAATTAGTTTCTTTTCTACTATGTTTTAAACATGACTTTATTTTGAAACTTTCTACCAATAACTGAATCTCTTTATTTAAATGAAAACTTGATACCTTCTTATCGCACACCTTACATATTATTTGATTTGAACAGTTAATTTGTTGTTGATTATGATGTGTTTCTATACTTGTTACTCCATTAATAACACCAATTGTATTAACTAAAGTACTTATTGTTGTATTACTATTCAAACACTTTTTACACACAATATCTCCACACGATAGCAACAAAGGCTCATCATATATTTCAAAACAACTTGTGCATATTATTGATTCCATATTTTTTTTGAAAAAAAATGATATAAATTAAATAAATAAAAAAAGATAAAATATGAATTTTTGAATATATAATTAAACAAAACAAAATAATAAAACAAATTAATTAAATTAAACTGGTATTGATTAAAATAATAGCTATTATTTGTTATTGTAATTATTTTTTTAAAAAAAATTATAAAAAATATTATAAATAAATAAATAAATAAATAAATAAATAAAAAAAAATAATAAATAATAAATAATTTATTTAACCAAAATACAATAATCCTAATAATATTAATAATGATATTTAAAAAAAAAAAAAATAAAAAAAAAAAACAATATATTAAAAAAATAAAAAAATAAAGTATTTAATTGTTATTAAAATTATAAAAAAATAATAATATTGTTATTTCAATATAACTGTAATCAAGTTTCATATGATTTTTTTATGTTTGTGTGAAAGTGTGTTTTTTTTTTTTTTTATTTTAATATTAATATCACAAAACAAAACTTAAACATTTTCCTTTATGTGTTATATGATAATGATAGATAATAATATTGCTAAACAATTTTATTTTTAACCTCTTTTTCTTACTAACTCAATACCCAAAGAGATATAAACCACGGACTCACTATTCAATATAATGATATTTGATAATAACAATTTTACACTTAACATACTAAAAATATGTGCAGTACCTATTCAATTTATATGTAAAAATATTTTATCATGTGTGTGGTGAGTGTGTGTGAGTGAGAGTGCATGTATTATTTTTATTAACGAGTGGGTGATTTTTTTTATTTTTGTTTTTTATAAACACAAATTTAATAAGATAAAGTAATTTAAACCACCATTTAAAAGAAAAAAAATTTGTAATTTTACCTTTAATTAATTCGCTATTACAATCTAAAGATTCAAAAGGCCAATCTAGATAATAAATCATTTTGATGTTCCCAAAAAAATTTTATTTTTTTATTAATTTTTTATTTTTTTTTTATTTTTTTTTATTTATTTTTTTTTTTGTTTTGAATAAAAAAAAAAAAATTAAAAATGAAAATAATAAGAGAACAATGAATTATTTTATTTTTTAGATATTTATTTTCTAATGCTTAAATTGGAATAAACTCCAATCTGTCATTTTCGAAACTGGGTTTATGGGTGTTTTTCCATGTTAAAATCTATTTTCAGTTCTTTTTTTATACTATCAAAAATTTATAAAACTCTTTAATATCACCTATTTTCACTTGATCTGAAATAACAATTGTATTTCACAGTAATATTTCTTTATAATAGTAATTGCAATAACATCATATTGGTTTTTAACTCTGAAAAAATATAATTGTAATAGATATAAAGAAGAAAATTTTCTAAAAAATAAAAAATAAATTTTTTTTTACAAAATACCTTTTTTTTTTAATTAAATTTTATTATTATTAATTCTTTAAATATATGATGATCTCCTAGATACCACTGAAATAATAATTTGACATGTCAACTTCTTTTTCAATTATTTCATTTCCTAAACCTTCTCTTGCAGCATTTAAGAGTAAACCATGATCCTGATCGATGGTCCATGTGAATAAACCACCCAACTTATTTTGTACAGCATAATTTCCTTTTGATTTGACAGATCTGGGGGTATCCAAGGACATAAATACACCCGAATTAGAGTTATATAAGAAATCTGCATCTTTTGCTCTATCAGTGTATAGAGTGAACCCATTTTTTCCTGATTTAGAATTAAAATCTAAATAGTTATTTAAAATATCGTAGTATTCAGTGACCCCACTCTCAAAAGTTCCTACTGTTGTAGTTTCTTTTGGTGAGTAATCACCTTTGAGAGGTGAAATACTTGATATTTGAGCACCCTGAGCATTACGACTATAGGAAGCATAACCAATAAACAAACTCTTTGATGGAATATTTAAATCGTTTACTAAATAACTAACGACTGCATCAATACTATTTGGATCTGCTCTGAGGTTGGTATGATGTGCCAATGATTCAGCCCATGGAGTTCCAAAATAGTCATAAGTCATAATATTAATATAACTAACACCTGCCTGCATTAAAAGTGGAATATTAGCTACTTTTATCTTTTCAATGACTCCAGCTGCTGCAATACTGATTTTAACATCATCACGACCTATAGATGAAAGAGAGCTTTTGACACTTATAATTAATTGAGCAAAGTTTTGTGGATCTTCTGGGCCATATTCATTATGTTCTTCACCAGCAGCACCTGGATACTATATTATTTTATTAATATTTTATATTATTATTAAAATATTATAATAAAAAACAATTCTTACCTCCCAATCGAGATCAATCTCACCAATCATTGGAAATCTATTTAAGAGATCAGCAACCCCATTTGCAAATGTTTTTCTTTTTTCAGCTGATTTTACCATTTCATGGAATGCTTGAGACATTGTCCAACCCCCAATTGAAACTGAGATTACCAGATCTGAATTTTTTTCTTTTAATTTACGAAGACCACCAAGGATACCTTGACATTTATCTTGAGAAAAACATCCTAAAATATCATCACTGAACCACCCATTGAAACCAACATTACGATAAGATAATACATCACCCCAACCATCTGTAAAAGTTGGTTCATTATCTTTTTTGTTAAAGTCTTTAGCAGCTTTTTCTATTATAAATCTCTTATCACCCTTGTCACCGACTATTCCACAAAATCCAAGAATGATTTTATCATAAGCTTTTGGGTTAATATTCATTAAATCACGACCCCTACCAGGTTCAACTAAACCATCTAAACGACCATCATATTGACCTGTTTTTTAAAAAAAACATTTTAATTTTTAATTTTAAAAATAGGTTTTCTATATTATAAGGATACTTACACCAGTCAGTATAATAACCAAAAACTTTAAAATCATTCTTTTCATATGTGTTGTATAATGGTTTACCAACTCTTGCTGATGTATATGAAAACTTTGAGTCCTCTTCAGATGGATTAAAGTTATTTCTTACATATGTTTCTTCTGTTAAGCTATCTTTTAATATTAACTCTTGTGACATTTTATATATAAATTATAATTTATAAAAAATTGAAAAAACAAATTATTTATATTAAAAAATGAAATTTTTTAAAAAAAAAACCTCCAAATCAATAGAAACAGTTGGTAAATCTACAAATATTAAATTTTTAAATCAGATTTTTGATGATTTTATTAAAAAATGTAATTTAAATTGAAAAATTATGATAATGATTAAAAAATTGTTGTATTTTACAAAATGATTTATACACACCAACTCAATAATAAATTATATGTTATTTATTTAAAAATTATGTATAATTTATATTATTGTTGTTCAAACTTAAAAAATGGTGATTAAAACAGTTTTAAATTTCACACGATATAAAATTAATATTTATTTAGTTTAGTGAGAGCACTTGGGTCAATGTGTGGGGTTAATAAGGGGGTTGTGTAATTATATGTGTTTATGGGGTTTTTTTTATTTGAATATTGGGAAAAAAAAAAAAAAAAATTTTTTTCAAAATCTCGATGGTAAAGATTTTTTCAGATGATTTATGATATTACATACCCATATTAAACCTCTCAAAATTTTTTATATATAAAAAATTTAATTAAGATGTTTTTTTTTTATTCAAATTATAACTATTAAGAAATAAAATTCAAATTATAAATATTATTATGTCTCTTTAAATTAAATTAAATAAATATAAAAATAAATAAAAAAATTATCTTGAATCTGCAAATAATGGTTTTTCATTGTGAATACCTCTAAATCTTTTTAGATTTCTGAAGCTCAATGATTTTTTCTTCGTTAATGGGGATTCTAATGACATTAACATTGCTAAAAACCAATTAAAGACAACAATTAAATTAAGTAAAATCCAAACTGATTATACTAAAATTCTATAATTGGTTACCAAAATGAAGTATAATGAGGTTTGTAAAAACTTGATGGAACTAATCCCAAAATCCAAATTAGTTTTACTTCGGTTAACGGTTAATTCATATAACCCAATCTTAAACAAAAAAAAAAAAAAAAAAAAAAAAAAAAATTAATTTAAAAAAAAAATTAATTTATGACGTTTTTTTTCTAAATTCTTTTTTTTTTTTTAATTTTATTTTTTTTTTTTTTAAATTAATTTAAATACATTATTCCAATAGCCATTGATTAAATAATAATAAATTATTCTATTGTGTGTGTTTTATTTTATTTTTTATTTTTTTTATTTTTATTTTTAAATTTAATCTTATTTATTATATAATAAATTAATAATAATTATTATTATTTTAATAACAATACATTTGTAACAATATTTTTTTTTTAAAATTATTTTATTTATTTATTTATTTTATTTCTTTATTGAAAATACTTTAAAAAGTTTAGAAAAAAAAAGAAAAAATGTCTAGTTTTGTCGATACATGTTTTAAATTAAGCAAAACACACGACTATACATTTTTTACAGTTCACACATTATTTTGGTTAATAGGTCACTATTTATTATCAGATAATAAGAAACCAATAGAATCGAAAAACAATGGACCAAAAAATAAAAAATTACCACCATATAAATTAACAAAAATCGAAAAGATATTTGCTACGATTATGATATCAGTAACAATCATTAATATATTACTTAGAATTTCTAAAGGCGTTCCACATTGGTTAGTAAGTTTTATCAATAAAATTTCCATCACCCAATTAACAATAATAAACTAATAATCATTTTTTTATTATTTTTTATTATTATTAGATTCAACCATGCCATGTGCTCTCTGTTATATTAATTTGTGTTTTATTAGACAAGAATAGTAGCTCTAATTTATTTTATCTTTATTTCTATACTTTATGGATGCCGTAAGTGCTATAATTTCCTATAGGTAATAATAATAATAGTGTATATATCAATATTAACAATTAATTTATCATAACAGAGTATTTGGATTATTAGCAGTACCAGACGATTCATGGTTTTATTATTCATGGGAACCATTTGTTTTTTATCTTCATCATTATACTATGGTTCTTATTCCATTTTACTATTTAATTTTCAATCATAGATTCCACGCACATTTTAAATCAAAAACATCATTATCATACGAACATTATTTTAATCCAAAACTATCAAGCTTCAAGAATCGTATCAAATTATTTGTTCAAATCTTTATTTTAGGAATGCTTTATCATACAGTTGTTTTAGGTTTTGGAGGTTTATTACTTGATGAAGATTTCAACTCAATGAGATGTCGTTTCCCAGGTGGTGAAATGTTAGGAATTTGGTGGAGAGAAGCTTTATCAGTTGGTGGCTTAATTGTTGGAATTTTGGTTGCAATGATCCCAGATACAATTTTCCATTACTTTTTACATAAAGATAATAATAATCAACAACAAACTAAATCAACTCCATCATCAAATTTTATTTCAGATTTATTTAATTACGTAAATACTTTAGTTAAATCTGAAATTAAAAAGAACGAATAATAATTTATAAATAATAAAGATCGTATTAAATTATTTTAATAAAAAAAAAATAATAAAAAATTTAACAGTTTTTGTTATAATAAATTAAATATATAATAAATAATAATATTTATTTATTTGTTTTGTATTTTTTTTTAAAAAAAGATTTTATAAATTAATAATTAAATTAAATTTATGTTTTTTTTTATATATTAAAAGATTATTTTTTAGATTTTGATTTGGATGACTTTGTTGTTGTTGTTGTTGTAGTTGATTTTGCTTTTGGTTTTGATTTGGTATTTGATGATGTTGATGATTTTTTAATTAATTTTGATTTTGTAATATCTTCATCTTCATTATCATCTTTTTCATCATCAAGTAATTGTTTTGATTCTTCACCTTCAACCTCTTCATAGCCCTCAGCAATATTAACATCGCCAGAACCTTTTGTTACAGTCAATAGTGAGTGGTCATATACTGCATGAGATCCAGCTTTAAATTTCTTTGTAAATGAAGTTTTAAGTTGTGCAGAAATACCAGAAAGTATGTCTGCTTTATCCCATGTTGAAAGCTCTATAATTCTGTCTCTATCATCTTGAGTTAAGCCGTATTCATCCATTATGTTGATTACTTTATCAATACCTTCTTTACCATCTACAACCAATGGTTCAATGAGATAGTGTTTTAACATTGGTACATAGTAAAGACGAGTTTCGTCACGATTTGAAAATGTGTTACTAGTTGAACGCATATGTAATTGTAAATCTTTAACGAAACGTTGTTGTTTTGATGCATTGCTATATTTTCCTAAATAAGTTGGGAAACGAAGTGGCATTACATTTGGGGTACCACGTACATAACCTGCTGGAAGAATAGATGATGCTACACCATAGGATGGTAATAATTGCCATGCCATCTCCTTACCAACAGCTCTACCAATTTCATCAGAATCGCAAATTGCATCGGCAGCATCAGAATACTTTTCAATTGGAAGATTATTTCTATCTGTTCCATATGGTGTTATACTAAGATAATTCTCTTGAACCAATAATGGTACCAAAGAGAAATCTGAAAAGAAATATTCTAATTGGGTGTTAATGTCACCATTAGATGTTTTGAATAAAAGCTCGACTGCACTAAATGGAGTGATATCAAAATCTTTAGATTCAATTGCTTTTTCGATGGTAAAGTTATCATAGCTTTTCTTTGATCTTGCTAACATTTGAAGAGTGTTTATAGTTTGTCTAATATCTGAATGGGTAGAGACGAAAATCTTTTCGACCATATAGTTTGTTACTTTCATATCTTCATGTTTAGCGATTTGTAAAATACGTGTTGTTACTTGGGCAGCAGTTGGTCTCTTTAAACGTAAATCCATACAGTAGTTCTTTAATGACTTGATTTTGTTACTGTAATAATCGTTACAAATACAAATGAATGGGACTTTTGATTTTTTAATCAATTGAATAATTTCAGCTATACCACCACGATCGCTATTACCAGAAGAACCATCAATCTCGTCTAAAATAATTGCGTTGATCTTTTTTTTTTCTGTTGGCTGGGCACTAAAGAAATTACTAATGTTTTGATTATCTGATGCACCTTTTAATACTCTTTCAATTTCAGATTTGCTTCTAGTATCACTTGCATTGAGTTCGATTGGTTCAAATCCTTTCAATTTGCAAAGTAAAATGGCTGCTGATGTTTTACCAATACCTGGTGGACCTGATAATAATACAGCATTTCTCTTATTTGGATCTTTAGGTTGCTTTTGATTCCATTGTGATAAAAATAAAGATAATTGTTCAAATACTGATCCATTACCAATTAAATCTTTCAAATCTTTTGGTTTATATTTTTCTACCCACAATTGGTCATGACCTTTTGGAATTGAAGAGATATTAGGTGGAACTACAATTGATGACATTGAAATGGTTTGTGGTGGTGGTGTATATGCATATTGGAGTCCTGAAGCTGGTTTAAATGATGAGGCTGATGAAGTGGTTGTGGTTGTGGTGGCGGTTGTATTTGGTTTAAGAGGTAATGATGGTTTAATGGGTAGTGTTGGTTTTGCAATACCTTTTGAAGCTGCTGCTGTTGTTGGAGGAGATGAAGAAAGTGGTGGAGTTGATACCATTTCTTCTTGTTCTTCTTTTGTCTCTTCTTTTATTGGTTGTGGTGCAGTTTTTGAAATCATTTCAAATAAACCATCTTCATCTATAAAAACAACCCCACGAATTTTTTTAGCCTTTTCAAGCTTCTGTTCGCCCGCACCAGTACCAACAATCATATGTGTAAGTTTTTTAACTGCAGATTTAGCTACATTACCACCATACTTTTTAATTAAATTTTCAGCTTCGTCTCTTTCTAAACTGTCCAAAACGCCACTTATAAAGAATGTATATCTTGCTAAACAATTCTGTTTACCGACTGGTAATGGTTTTTTACCTTTGTTTGGTGGTGGTTCTCTTGTTCCAAATTTGAAGTTAAGAAAAGCCATTTGTTTTGCACTTTTAGCTCCTGGTGTAGGTGTTGGTTTAGATGGGGCAGATGTTGGCTTAGATGGTACAGATGATGCTGATTTAGATGGTGTGGATGATGATTTACTTTTGAATTTCTTGTCTTGTTCCTCTTCACTTTCAGTTTCTTCACTTTCGGTATTATCATCTGCATACTCTTCCTCTTTGGCTTTTTTAAGTTTTTTAGATAACGGTGCTGGCTTATCAACCTTCATTTCTTCACTATCTGTTTCTTCATCATCAAAAATTGAATCTTCATTAAATTTACTATTAGTTTTTGATTTTGGTTTTTGTTTGGATTCTGGTGGTGAATTAAAAATATCATCGTCATCAAATTTTTCTTTCTTTGCAGTTTTTGTTGGAGTTTTTTTAATTGGTGTAGCTGATTGTTTATTTTTTGCAGGTGAGTCTCCAAAAATGTCGTCATCATTAAATTTATCTGATTTTTTTGTTGCAGTTGTTGTTGCTGATGTTGTGGCTTTTTGATTTTCAGTTTGCTTTGGTGAGCCAAATATATCATCATCATTAAATTTATTTTTTTTAGCTGGTGATTTACTTGTTGTTAATGAACTAACATTTTTATTTGTATCTGATGCTTCTTCTGTATCAAGCATTTCTTCATCTTTTGGAGCGGCCTTGGATGGAGATTTAATTGGAGTTGGTGCCTTTGAAACTTGTGGTGCTTTTTCTGGGGTTTTATTTATTGCTGATGCTCTTTTTGGAATAGCTGAAACTTGATTTTCTGCAAAGATATCATCTTTTTTTGGTTTAATTGATAAATAAACTTCATCGACCTCCATACCATTATCTAAAACTCTTGTTTTCTTTTCAGGTGTTTTTTGTTTACTATCAGAAACCTCAACCTTTTTCTCTGGTGTTTTTGTTGTTGTTGTTGACTTTGTTGGTGTTGACTTTGTTGGTGTTGACTTTGTTGGTGTTTGTGGCTGAGTTGTAGCTTTTTCTGGAGTTTTAATTTTCCTTTTCTTTTCTTCTTGTTTTTCATCTTCAGATGATGATTCTGGTTTTTCTTTTCTTTTTAAATTTGATGATTTATTTGATGATGATGATGATGATTTATTTGATGATTTTCTTTTCTTTTTTTCATTTTCTGATGACTCGGTTTCTTCATCAGTTGTTAAATCAATTTTTTTTGAAACTGGTTTTTTAGATTTTATTGGTGTTGAAGATGATTTAGCGGGTGTTGTTTTTTCATTAACAATCGATTTAGTTTTAGTATCAGTATCATTGTTATTATTTAATTTGTCAGATGTTGAGTTTTTACTTCTGTTATTATTTTTTTTATTTGAGGGTTCTTCCTCGCTAAAACTAAAATAATCATCATCATTATCTTCTGAGCTTGAGCTATCTGTTTCTTTTTTTAATTTCTTTAATTTTGATAATCTATTACTTTTATTATTATTACTATTATTATCGTTACTATCATTATTTTTACTTATATTATTATCTTTATTTTCTTTGTTATTATCTTTTTTAGAGTCTGAAGGCTTTAAAGTAGTAGCTTGTGGTTTTTCTTCTTCTTCATCGCTAAATGAAAGTTTTTTTGGAGGTGGAGCAGCTGTAAAAAATGATCTAATATCCTGTATATTTTTATTAATATAAATTTATATTTTAAATAATTTATTTAATCTATATTTTACTTACAGCACTACCAGCAGCAGCAGCGGTTTTTTTACTTTTTGAACTATTGCTACTTTTTGATTTTTGTTTTGGGGAAGATGACTCTGTAGGTGAACTTGATTTTTTTGCCATTTCTTCCTCCTTTTTTTATATATTTAAATATTTTAATTTGTTTTTTACAAACCTGTAAAAAATATATGTTTTATATAAATAAAAAATGAATATCTGTTTTAATGTCGATAAATACAACAAAAAGTAAATATTACAAAACTAGGCGCCTTTAAAAATAATTTTGTTTTTAAAAAATTGAAAAAATTTAAATTTAAAAAAATAAAAAAAAATAAAAAAAATATTTATTTAATTATTTTTTTTCATATTTTAAAAAAAAAAATTTGGTTGTGTTCATTTAATTAAAAATATATATATATATATTTTAATTAATTAATGGTACCATTAAATAACAAATTTCAAGAAATATGCAATGCTATATTTTTAAATTTTATTAATATGAAAAAAAAAATTAATTTTCCAATAGACATTTAAATAATAAATGTTAAATTAGGAAATGTTTTTTTTGGGTCTATAAAAAAATAGTTTAAAATAAATTTTTTTTTTTTTTTTTTTAATAACAAAATAAAGAACTTTTTAAAATGAACAAAGAAATATATGGTACAAATATTTAAATTTTTAATTTAAAAAATAATAAAGATATTTACTTTTTTTTTTTATTTATTTAATTTTTTTATTTAAAATTCAGATATCGACAGAGATGAATTAAAAAAACCAGGTTTTAAAGATGCAGAAGACAATTCCCAAAAATTATATGAAAAGAAGAATTATGACAAGTATGTAAAAAGAACAAATAGAACTGACAACCATAATGAAAATTTGGATGTAAATTATTACGATAATTATAATAACTATAAAAAAAATTAAATAAAAATTAAAAATATTTTATTTTATTTTATTGCTTTTTTATATACAAATAAAAAAAATAGGATTCTTTTTATTATTACTATTATAAATAAATATTATCATTATTTTAGCTATTTATTATTATCTTAATTTGTATCATTATATATTAATAAACCATGAAGATTTTGAACATAATAGCTATTTGTTAAAGGTTGAGAGGACCACGATTGTCTTGAGCCAACTAAATTTGCACAAGATAAAGATGTTGAAATATCAGTTGAGTTAATGCTATGATATTTGATGTACCATTTGAAAGGTTGTTTATCTGATGATTTTATTTGTGGTGATAATGGGTAGTAGAATATACAGTCATTTAATAATAAATAAATGATCATAGATTCTGTATCATTATATAATGATATTGAATAAATATCGTTACTGTTGTTGCTAATATTATTACTTGAAAAACTACTATTAACAGGTAAACTATTAAATATTGCACTGTTGCCTGTGAAATGTGGAAATTCTAATAGTTCTGGTGTCATCTTTAATAGATTAAATCTTTTAAAGAATTTTTCATTCATATAATAAATATAGTTTTGATGATAAAAACAACCAATGATTGGGGATTTTTGGAAATCATTCATATCTGGATCTTGGAATTTCGAAATAATTTCACATTTGTTTGTGGTTATATCTAATCTTTCTATTTCAATTGAAGCTCTTCCAATTTGTAATGATTTGTAGGTACCACCAAATATATAAATGTAACGTTGACCATCAAAACTTGTTAAGCAGCTGTGTTTTGGTTTTGAAAGATTTGCAATTCCTGGTTCATATTTATTAGTTATTAGATTATACTTGTCAATATCTTTGATAGGGTCTTTTGATTTAGAATTAACACCACCTATTAAATAAAGGTTTTCATTTTGTATAATGATGGCAGAGCAATTGGTTTTAAAGCTTTTTAATGGTATAACGATTTTAGTTTGAATTTGATTGGTTTTAACATTAATTCTAAATATTTCAATTTGACTATTTTTTTGGTTCTCTGATACTGTGACTAATAAATTATTGGACTGATTGCCGTTGCTTGAGTCTTTAAATGCCATCATTTTGTATGCAAGAAGTGGATCTTTCATTGTATGGTAATTGGTTAAAGTATTGGTACTGCCTTCGGTAAAAGTATCTGAAAATGGTAAGAAATGATTTGAATCTATATCGAATTGATATGTTTTGTCTTTTGAAAGTGCTAAAAGCTGTTTGTTGTTTTTGAAAAAATAATTGATTTTACCCAATGATCTTAAATGATCTGCTAATTTATTATTAATTTGATCTGATTCTTGTTGATATTGATAGTTGTTTACATTATTTGAATTGACCACTAGTTTAGCTATTCTCATGTTGATTTTTGAAAGATTTTTTATTATTTTCAATTTATTTTTTTCATTTGATTTGATATCTACAATACATCTTTTGGTAAGATCAGCTTGACTTTCTAAAGATTTAATTTGTTCTTCTAATTGTGATTGTTCATATTTAAACTGATTTTCTATAAACTTTAACAAATAATATTTTCTTTCTTCTAAAATTTGCTTGTACTGATTGAATTCTTCTTGAATCTTTTTAAATTCACTTGAATAATGTGTAACTGATTGTTGTTTCCATATTTTTGATAATTTTATTTGTTTTACCAATTCAAATAGTTGATGATCTAAAGATGATGATTGTTGTTGTTGTGGAGATAAATATGGATTTGGTGTATCTGGTTGATTTCTATTGAAAAGGAATCTATTAATTGTGTTTCTATCCATTTGAATTTCTTTGTGATCTTTATGTTCAAAGTCGACACAATCCGGGCATATAATAGTTTTACAATCCATACAATAGGTGTGACACTCTTTATTGTGTTTTGGGCAAATTTCATTTGGATTAACATTCGAGGATGATGAGGATGATGATGAGGCAGCTGTATTCGATATTGGGGCATTAGTATTTGAAGATGTTGAAGAAGTTGAATTATTATCGGTTTCATCACTATCAGAATTGGTAGTACTACCAACACTACTTGTGTTTGGAGAGGATGAGAATGATATTTGAGGAGATGAAATGGATGATGATGAAGTTTTATTAGTTACTACAAAGTTACTTGAACAAGTTTCTGATGAAACTTCTATTGAATGTTGTTGTAGTTGTTGTTTTTGTTGTTGTTGTTTTTGATTCTGTTGTTGTTGCTTTTGCTGCAAAAGTTGTAACTGCTTTTCTTGTTGCTTCTTTTCTTGCTTTTCATTTAGTAATACTAGTTGTTTTAGATATAAATTGGGAAAGTGATATAGTATGTCAACATTACAAGATTTGCATCTCTTTAAACTTATTGATTCTCTTTCGCATTCATTACATAAGGTGTGGTTACAAGGGATGTATGTTTCATACCCAGTTGATACATCCTTTATTAATGGTTTTTCACAATATAAACAACTATAATTGATTTCCATTATTTTATTGTCTAAATATATTTTTTAAATTATATTAATCTATTTTTTTACCAATATTATTATTATTAATATTATTGTATTTGTTTGGTTATTGTTATATATTTCACTTTGAGTAACAATCTAAATAAAATATATTAATAAATTAGTATTTTTATTTAATTATAAATTTGCAATAAAATTATAATACTAAAAGTAAATTTACTTTTCAAAAAAAAAAAAAATAAAAAAAATATATTCTTTTTGGGGGAAATTTTTTTATACATACCAAATATTTACAAAAAAAAAACTCTAGATGAAACAATATGACTATAATATTTTATATATATATAAATTATATTTGTGAAAAAATAATATATTAATGAAGATATTTTATTTTAGTTACAAGAATTATTAGTATTCTATATTATTTCACTTTTATTTATAATGGGATATTAAATATAAAAAAAAACCAATAATTTAAATACAATATTATTTATTCTATATATTTTATTATTATTATTATAATAAAGGATTATAAATAATTATATTTCTATTTTCTCTTTTTTTTTTATTGATTATTATTTTTTTTTTGTATTTATTTTGAAATTTAATAAAATTTAATTTAAAAAAAAAAAATATATTTTAAAAAGAAAAAGTATAGTTATCATATAAAAGTGTACACTTAATTTTGAATTATTTGAAATAAATTAAAATTACACACTCACAACACACATACAAAATCACACACACACATACACACATACACACACGCTCTCATTTAAAATAAAATATATTTATCAAATATACATATAAATATATTATTTTTTTATGAATAAAGTGTGGTTTTGTTTATTATTTATTTTTATAATGTTAAAACACACACATAAGAACAAACAACATTCAAATATTGTGATTACTCTATATATTATTTTAACTGATGTGTAAATAAAAATAAAATATTTTTTCAACTTACAATTTATTTTTTTTAGAGAGAGAATATATTATAATGTGGTATTGTTATTTATTTTGGAAAGAAATACAGTACTGAAATATTTAAAAAAAATAAAATAATTTGTGGTGAAAATATTTGTATATATATATTTTTTTTTTTAACAATAAAATATTTTTTTCTTTTTGATGTGTGTTTTTTTCAAAATTATATATTTTCTTTTTTTCATAATAATGGTAGGTGCGTTCACAACAGTTTTTATTTAAAGCTTAAATATTGTGTGAGTTCTATTTAAGTTGTGAGTTTAAAAAAAAAATAATAAAAAAAAAAAAAAAAAAAAAAAATAATAATAAAGTCTTTCTAATCTAAATAAAAACAACTTTATTTGTGTGTGTGTGTGTTTTTTGTTTAAATTTTATAGAATTATTTTGACCTTTATATTATATTGTTTTATTTTGAATCACATTCAATCATTTTATAAATTTGAACCATTTACAAAAGAAAAAAATTAAAAAAATTAATTAAAAAAATAAAAAATCATCAATTTAAAAAATAAAAAAAAAATTAATTTTTTTTTTTTTTCTTTTTTTTTTTAATTTAAATTTTACCACACCTTTTATAATTATTTTAGAAACAGGAAGCTTATTCATTTAGGGGAGAATGAATAACGAATTTTTATTATTAGCATTCAACGTATCAAATTGGAACCCAAGCGAAGAAGAATGGGATAGTTGTATAAAGAAATTAAATGATGAAGTTGAAAGAAAACGAATTATGAATTTCAAAAGACCCAATCCAAACTACAATAAAGACCAACCCCATTTACAACCACAATGGCTAACTGGTAGAATCAATGATTCTGCAAAGTCATCAATGGCTGGTAGACTATTGATCATAGAGTTAACCAAATCAATGCTAACAATAACTGACGAAAGTTCAATTAGATTTAATAGAACTGAATCAAATAAACCATACCTTTTAGGCGATAATAAAAACTATAATTTTAATATATCTCATGATACAGATTGGGTGGTTTCGTTGGGTTCGCTAAATCTGCCAATAGGTATTGATATAATGAATTCTAAAATACCAAGAAGACAAACAGTAAGTAACGTAATTACAAGATATTTAAATAGAAAAAACTTTATATTTAGCTCATATTTTCTATAAATTTTAGGCAAATGAATTTTTCGGAACAATGTCATCATGCTTTACAGATAAAGAATGGAAAGTAATCAAAGATGAAAACAATAGTGAAAAAATTAAAACAGATTTGTTTTTTATACATTGGTGTTTAAAAGAGAGTTATATTAAAGCAGGTATGTAATTTACACACCTATATTAGTTTTAATTTCAACATAAAAATTCATACTAATACTCTACATAAAATAGATGGTAAAGGATTAGAAATAGAGCTAAAAAGTTTAGAATTCGAAATAAATCAAAACAATCAAACAGCTCAATTATATATAAATAAAAAGAAAATGAATAACTATCAATTTACATATTTTAAATCATTTTTAAATCATAATAACCGAAATGATAATAATGATAACAATTATAAAGAAGACAATGATGATATTTTAGCAATATGTGTCGATGTTTCAAAAATAAATGATCAATATATTAATAATATAATAACTAAAGATAATTTACAGGTTAAAATTTTAAATTCAGATTTTAAAATAAATAAATAAATATATAAATAATAATAAACAAATATTTTAATTTCTAATTTTATTTATATAAATTTTATTTGATTGATGATATCAAAAAAGAAATGAATCAATTTGATACTAATCTTATTGCGTGTATAGTTATTAATTGTAAATGTTACTTTTTCTTCTTTGTTTTTTTGAATTTTTCATTCTGGTTCCCATTCCATGTAGATTATCTGAACTATTAGATGCTGGAATTGAGCTGTTGTGATGGTTTTGATTTGTGGTATTAACTGCACCATTACTATTATTATTATTTACTAAATTTAAAACAGATTCGGATTGTTGTTTTACTAATAATTTTTTTAAATGATTGGTTGAAAATGTAAAACTTCTACTTAAACCGTGATGTGGGGAATGCTGTTGAGGTTGTAATGGTGGAGGATTTTTAATATTATGAATTGGTGAATTTGGTGAGTGATTTGTACCGTTAATACCTTGATTTGGGGAACTATTACCACTGTTGCCACTATTACTGCTAGCTTCATCAATATCATTTTCGATTTTGATGTTACTATTATTTGAACTATAATTATAATTAAAGTCGTCTTGTGGAACTAATGTCGGAAATACAATTGGTGAAAAGTTTAATAATTGGGCACCTGGAGATGAATTACGTCTTTGGTGATTAAATGGACTTGGGTTTTGTTTACCAACTGGACTTTGCTGATAATGTTTTAATTGTTGTTCCATATCTCTTTGCTGTTGTAATTGTTGATGATATTGCAATAATTGCTGTTGTTGTTGTAGATACCCGCTATTACCATCATTGTTGTTGGCACCGTTGAAAAGTGGACTGTTGACTAATGATGGTGATGTGGTTTGGAAATTACCGTTTCTAGAGAATGAGCTAAAGATTTTAAATAAAAATATAAAGAATAGCAAGGCAATGACACCAATTAACATTGAAATGAATAATGTGTTTTCAGTCTTTCTGGTTTCTTCCATTTCTTTAATTTTGTTCTTTAAAAAGATAATATCATTCATTGATTGCTTCTTAAATATATCCAAATCTTTTTGTGCCTTTTCACTCTTTGATAATAAACTTTGGAATACCTTTTTTGTGTCATCTTCCAAATCCAATAAAATCTTTGAGTAGTGCTGATTTAAACTTTCAAACAATTGCTTGAGGGTAAAACTGTTGCTTTCAAGATTCTTTATTCTATCTACTAAAATCTTGAAAATGTTTTGCTGTGAACGATGTTGAGACTGTTGCTGCTGTTGCTGTTGTTGTTGTTGTAATTGTTGAAAAATAAAATTTGAATCTATATTAATCTCTTCGCCATTATCACCAGATACTGGTATATAATGAAACTCTGGAACAACAAAATTATTGATACTGATTTTTTTTCCCATAATCTCTTCATAAATTGAATTGTGATTTTTAATTGTTTTTTTTTCACTTGGTAAGCTTGGTGAGCGATACATTTTTTCTTTATTGTTATTATTATAATTATTATTATTGTTATTATTGTTATTATTATTATTAACATTGCCTTCATTTACACCAACATAAATTTCATTCTTTAAATCATCGACCATAGTTGAACCATAAACTTTTAGTGTTGAAACTGGGCAATATAACTGATCTCCATAGTGTGATGTTATTGATATTTTAACATACCTTTTATTTTATAAAAAAAAAAAAAGAATTAATAAATGAAATACACGTTTAACTATTAGTTTAATTAAAAGATTCTTACTTATACCATGACTTTTCTTTTAGTACAAAATATTGAGCTTTTCTAATATTTTCACCTGTAAAATTACCCAAAAAGTTCCATTCATCAGATGGAAATCGGTTAGTCCCGTATACTGAAAAATCTTTAAACATGGATGAAAAGAATTCAAAGTTTGCCATTTCTATTATTTGAATACCAATCTCTTCACATAATTCGACCACAAACCACTTTTTTGTGTCACAAACAGATAATAAGTATCTATCTTTCGATGATTGTAAAATGCTACTGATTTCCCTGGCTTCTTTATTTGATGCAACTACATTAGCGCCACAATCTGAAGATGCATAATTGAATTTATCTGGTAAATCATTTGGTGTTAAAACTATTGGTTTGTTAATTTCTTTTTGAGGATAGATTGGTTGTTTTCTATTGGATTAGTTGTTGTTGCGGATGGTGAAAATGGTATAATTGGTGTATACATAAATTGACCATTTCCATCATTATTATTATAATTAATATTATTATTATTATTATTATTATTATTATTATTATTATTATTATTGTTATTGTTATTATTTTCTTGTTGGTGTTCTAATCTTTCTTTTTCAAAACTTTCTTGTTCATTTTTTTTTTCTTCTTTTTCTAATCGTTCTCTTTCAACAGCCAATTTAAATAATTCTTCTCTCTCTAATCTCTCTTTTTCTTCAAGCTTTAACTTATCATTTTTTATTTGCTCTTCCTCTTCTAATTTTTTTATTTCAATATTTTCTTTTTCAGTATTTTCTTTTTCAATGTTTTCTTTTTCAATTTTTTCTTTTTCAATATTTTCTTTTTCAATTCTTTCTTTTTCAACTCTTTCTTTTTCAAGTTTTTCTTTCTCTTGTTTTTCATTATCTTCTTTTTCTGCTTTCTCTATTTCTAAACGTTCTTTTTCTTGTTTCTCTTTTTCTAAACGTTCTTTTTCTTGTTTCTCTATTTCTAAACGTTCTTTTTCTTGTTTCTCTATTTCTAAACGTTCTTTCTCTAATCTCTCTTTTTCTTGTTTCTCTTTTTCTAAACGTTCTTTTTCTTCTCCTTCCCTTTTTTCATTCTCTTGTCTTTCTTTTTCTTTTTCTTCCTTTTCTTCTTTTTCAATTCTTTCTTTTTCTTTTTCGATTTCTATTTGCTTTTGCCTTTCTATTTCGAGTCTTTCTTCTATTTCAATTCTTTCTTTTTCTTTCTTCAACTCTTCTAGTTTTTCGTTCTCTTCGACCTCTAATCTTTTTTTTTCTTCGATTTCTTTTTCATCAATTTCGACATTATTTTCTTTAGTTTGGTAAATTGGAGATTGGTTGTGAATTTCTTTATCATCATTATTTTTATCTTTTTCTACAACTATTTCCTCCACCTGTTCTTTTTCTTCTTTTGGTGTTAAAACGGGTTCATTTTGCTGTATCAAATCTTGACTCTGTAGTGATATTTGTTGTTGTTGTTGTTGTTGTTGTTGTTGTTGTTGTTGTTGTTGTAATGGTTGTTCATTTATTATATTATCATTTTCATAAAGAATATTATTATTATTTTTATTTATAAATTGAATGTTATTTTCATTAATATTGCCATTGTTACTATTAATATCGTTATTGTTATTATTGTTATTTATATTATCATTATTATTTCTATTATCATTAATATTATTATTATTTGCTAATACTGATAAATTATTAGATAATAAACTAAAAAAAAATATAATGAAAATCGTTACAAATATAAATTTAACCATAATATATAAATATATATATAATAGAGATTAATTAATTGTATATTATTTATTTTTTTATTTCATAAAAGGTTATTAACTCGGATATTAGTTAGATGTGTCACCAAAATAAAAATTAAAAAAAATTAAAAAAAAATTAAAAAAATTAAAAAAATTAAAAAAAAAAAAAAAATTAATTTAAAATTTAAAAAAAAACAATTTTAATATTAATATCAAATTTAATTATCAATTACGATCCAAACCTTTATCTTTTAGTTACCAAAAAAAATTGTATTATGTGATTTTTATTTTTATTTAAAACTTTATTTTAGAATAAATAAAAAAATTTATTCAAAACATAATATTATTATTTGTAAGAAGTTTATATTTATACATATTTGATATATTTTATAAAATCTAATTTTATTACTCAATTGCTATATAAGATAATTACCTTCCCAAAATTAAATGTAAGGTTAATATGGATTCAATTGTCTATTTTTATAAAAACCTGTTTTAATTTAAAAATAAAAAAATCAAATAATTCAACAAAATAATTTGGTATTATAAAAGAATAATAGTTTTAATCATAGGATCAATAAACATTAGCAAATAATGATATTTAAACTTATAATAACAACACCCTTTAAAACATCCTCTATCATTTTTAGGTCCACCAAATGGCAACAGAAAAACAATACTTAACAATCGTTTATAATAGTCATAATATATACACCTAAAGACCATTTAAATTAACGGACACACTATTATTTTAAATCCATGTTTTATAATATTCAACTATTATATTAAAAAAATAAAATAAAAATAAAAAAATAAAAATAAAAAAATAAAAATAAAAAAATAAAAATAAAAAAAAAAAAGTTAAATAAATAAATTATTTATCAAAAATCACTATTATTTGATTGCGTTTTATTATTTATCATTATTTTAAAAAAATTAATTATTTAAATTTATTTAAATTTATAAAAAAATATAAATTTTCATAACTTAAACACCCACCAAAAAAAAAAAAAAAATTTTAAAAAAAAAATATTTTTTAAAATAATCCACAATTATTTGAATAAAAGAAAATTATTTATAATTTTTTTAAGTTATTATCCAATTGAATTTTAACTTCAACGGTTTTTTTAATAATATCTGAAATATAAATAACTAATTTTTATACACTTCTTTTTTTGTTTAATTCAATTAATATGGCCTAACTAAATTCAAAAAAACCACTTTAAAGTGGTGACACCCCCCATACACTAAAAATATAATAGTGCCACATACACAATACCCACATAGATGTGAAGTTATTATGATAAAAACAAAAATTAAATATAAATTTATTTTCAATTTTTTTTTTTTATTTTAATATTAAACTTATTTTAGAAAAAATTAAGATAATATTATGAATCCAAGGTCTTTTCAAATTTAAAAACTGATTTAACACATACGCACATTATTTAAAAAAAAAAAAATTCTTCAAAATAAGATTTGATTTTTTTTAAAAATTGTGTCCTATTATGGATTTATTATAATAGTATTTTAAAATAATATAATAAATTCCTTAGTAATCTTATATATAATAACCTGATTATTCAATTAAATAATATTTATTAATAATTTTTAATTTTTATTTATTTTTTTAATTTTCCTGAAAAAAAAAAAAAAAATATAAATTTGGAAAAATTAAATTATAGTTTTTCATTCATTCAAATGAACTTTGTTCTACAAATAAAATAACAATAATATATTTCTATAAAAAATTTTAATATATTTATTTATTATTTATTTATTTATTTATTTATTTATTAATTCTGTTGTATATATGTTTTTAAAAAAAATTAAATTGTAAAGAAAAAAAAAAAAAAAAAAATGAAATTTTTAATATCAACTGCTATTTTACTTTTATCATCATCTGTATTAAATGCTCAAATTCCACCAACTTGTATTAATTATCAATGCGATGCAGGGGAAAATCAATCATGCTCTAATGGAATGTAGGTAGAATTTTTTTTATATCAAAATTAATTATTATAATTTTTTAAAAAATATTAATTTGTTTTTTTTTTTATTAATTCAAAGTTTAAATCCATCAAAAATTGATATTTGTGAACAAGGTTTCGTCTGTATGTCTAATTCAAGCAACCCATTAGAAACTGATTTTACATGTAATGCAAAAGTTGATGTTGGAGGTGAATGTAAAGCTTTTGCAGAAAATGAAGATTTATCAAATTGTTTCTCAGATTTAGTATGTGTCGATGGTAAATGTCAAGAACAAAACAATACTATCCAAGTTGGTGGTGAATGTTCTAATAACGATTCATGTATTACCAATATTTGTCAAGATGGTAAATGCGCTGCTGTTACTTCTTGCAATGTAACTGATATTACAATTGATCCATCAGCATGTCCATTCGGTCAATATCTTAAATGTGACATTATCACAGGTAATGCTACTTGTGTAGAATGGTTAAAGGAAGGCGATGAATGTTCTTCAAGCTATCAATGTTCATATGAAATGATTTGTTCAGTTGATGCTGATGATGATAGTGAATCTTCAAGTGGATCACAATCTGCTTCTTCACAATCCGCCTCTTCACAATCTGCTTCATCACAATCTGCTTCATCACAATCTGCCTCATCACAATCTGCTTCATCACAATCTGCCTCATCACAATCTGCTTCTTCACAATCTGCTTCTTCACAATCTGGCTCATCTATCCCAACTGGTAAATTCTGTAGAAAACAATTTACAAAGAAAGAAGGTGAAAAATGTTCAACCTATAATGCTCCAGTCGTTGGTGAAAAAGCAACTCTTACTCCATACACTTCAACCTTAAATAGAATGGATTGCGATTTAGCTGAAAATTTAGTTTGCGGTTCAAATGGTACATGTGTTAAACTTTCCACCGGTGCTGATTGCTCAAATGACACTAGTGTATGTGACGATTCATATGAAAAATGTGTTTGCAATACTCAAGGCTCTTCATCTGCATCATCAACTTCAGGCTCTGCCTCCGGTTCTGCCTCAGGCTCTGCTTCTAGCTCTGCATCAAGTGCATCAGGTTCTGAATCATCATCAAACTCAACTTCAAGTGCATCTGGCTCTGAATCATCATCATCAAACTCAACATCAAGCGCATCAGGTTCTGAATCATCATCAAACTCAACTTCAAGTGCATCTGGTTCTGAATCATCATCAAACTCAACTGATTCATCTGCTTCACAAAACCCAACCAATAGTCCAAACTTTTTAAGAGCTGCTCTCGATGAAAGCTCATCATCATCAAACTCATCAAGCGCTTCAGCATCAAGTGCATCAGGTTCTGAATCATCCTCATCAAACTCTACCTCTAGTGCATCAGGTTCTGAATCATCATCAGCCTCAAGTACCTCTGAAGATCTTGGTGCTACCTGTGTCCCAATTGCTAACTATAATTCAGAATGCAAAGACAGTTTAATTAAAATCACTCAATGTGCTCTCGATAACAAATGTAATCTTGGTGGCCATTTAACCAATGAATCATGTTTAGTCCAACATTGTCTCGAAGATATTTGTGAAAGCTCATGCTTTGCTACTCAATTATCATGCACTAAGGACGACATTTGCAGATATCACTATGGTTCATCATCATCACAAGCCTCATCAAATTCAACCTCAACTTCAACCTCCGAAAGTGATGGTTCATCTGCTGGTTTCACTGCTCCATCATTCTTAATTATTGTTGTTTTATCAATTATTTCTTTATTATATTAATTTTATTTTAAACAAATAATTTGATCTCTTTTTTTCTATATAGTAAATTTCCATTTTTAATTACACAAATAAACATATATATATTTAAAATATTATAAATAAATATAAATTTCAAATCATTTTTGAAAAAAAAAAATAAAAAAAAATAGTATAATATTATTTCTATAATAATAACTTTTATCTTTATATTTTATTTAATATTTTATTTTTGGTTATTTGCTAGTGTTTGGACTAATTGGTAATGAATAGGTGACACCTTTTGATGAAGATGTTCTTTTCTTTACTGATGAATCTTTAGATTTTAATGAGGATTGTAATGGTGGTGAGCCACCATTTGTTGAATTTAATAAAGGTGATGAATTACTATTACCATTATTAGTGCTGCTATTGTTTGATGATGGCGATGTGTTTGTGTTTGTTGATGTTTTATTTACATTTGAATTTGGATTGGTTGTTGGTGAAATAACTGGTGGTGGTGTAATTTGATGGATATTATGATTAACTTTTAATGGTGTATTATATAAAAACTGTAATAAATTAAATGAAATAAAGTTTGGGGAAACCAATCTTTGATTAACCTGTTTAATAATTTGAGTTTGAATAAATTGACCAATTTTTCCTGGTTCTTTTAATACAGTTTCATGACCCATCTTTGTTATCATTCTAAGTGAAATTTGTGGTGAGTTCTTTAAATAAAGTGCACATGTTGGGTTTGGTGTATTTGGAATATATAAAACAAACTATAAATTAAAAAGGAATAAAAAAACAATGATTAATATTAATACAATTTACTTTATTTGATCGATATAAATAAAATTTGATATATACTTTTCCTGAAAAATGTTTTAATGATAATTTGGTTTTGACTGGTAAACATGCAATATGTTTTTGTGGCCAATTTAACCAAAGATCTGCTGTAGCTGTTACTGAAGCATCACCTGAATAAATAAGATCAAATTCTAAAATACTAAATGCTGAATTTTCTGGAGTTACTAATTTTACAATACCTATTTCTGGTGTAGTAGTTCCAAAAACTATATCGGAAAAACTTAATTTACCCTATTAAAATTTAATTTATGTTAATATTTATAATTTTGTATTATTATTTGTTATTATAATTATAATTTTAAAATATTTACAAGGAAATCTGGCTTTGAGGTATCATCAAAAATATTATTTAAAATTGAATATATCTTTTGAGAAAATTGTGATGAATTATTAATATCTGATAAAATACGAGCAGTGATAAAATTGATCCATTTACAAGTTTCGATTGAAGTTGGTCTGATATCGCCCAATTCTAAAATTTCTTGAATTTTTTGTGTGGTGACATCGGTGATAATGGGTGAAGTGCTGCTATTGCTTGAATTATTAATCTTTTGTTTTTCTCTTGAAGTTGGTTTATCTTTTGGATCTACTTTTTTAGATAATAATTGGAAAAATATATACAATAAAATAGATGTTGTAAAAATTATACCACAAAGAAATCCAATAATAAACATTTTATATTATATATATCGTATCTATTAAAAAAAACTATGTGTTGTGATTTTTATTTTTAATTTTATTTTTAAATTTCTAAAAATAATTTAACAACAAATATTTATTTAAAACAAAACAAAAATATATAAACAAATAACTAATGATTATGTGTTTTTGGTTGTGTATCTGCCGAAAAAAATAATTAAAAAAAAAATTAAAAAAAGGGAAAAATGAAAAATAATTTTTTTTTTTTTTTTTTTTTAATTTTTTTTTTTTTTTTTTGATTTTTATTTTAAAATTTTAAATTATCATCTTATTTATTTTATGATTTGTTTAATATAAATATATTATTTTTAATTATTTATTAATATATTCAACCACAACACACCCCCACATTTCCTTTTATAATTTTTATATAAATAATGGCAACCACCACACCAAGAGAACATAAATTAATCCAAAATGGTATTGAAATTGCAGATTGGGTAATCCACACATCAAAAAATCCAATTTTAAGATCAACAGAAAAAGAGACATGGGAACAAGAATTACAATTAAACGAATTACCAGAAATGGTGTATGGAAATAATTTTGTTAGATTATCAAATGAAAAACGTGACATCACAATCGTTTTTAATTGTATGGATGCATTAAAACTTTTAGATAAAACTGCTGATCAATCAATTAAAGTATCATCTGCCAAAAAATGGGAAGAAATTAATAAAAACTTTGAAGGTCAAATCGAAAAATCATTTGATTGGACTTTTTCCTCCCCATATACTGGTTCCATTTTATCTCGTGGTCATTGTTACAATAGTTTTGAAAAACCATCTGTAAGTAATTAAAACTGACTAACAAAGACAAATAAATAAATAAATAAAAAAATAAAAATTTATAATACTAATTTTATTTTTATTTTAGGGATTAATTGAAAATACTACTGAAAAAATTGATATTGAAAAATTAAAAAGACCAGATCCAATTTTATTTTTTGATGATGTATTATTATATGAAGATGAATTAGCAGATAATGGTGAATCAATGCTATCAGTTAAAATTGTAAGTATTTATTATTGCGCTATCATTATAATTATTATTTATTAATATTTTTTTTTTTTTATTATTATTTTAGAGAGTTATGCACGAATCAGTATTTTTATTAGCAAGATTCTTTTTAAGAGTAGATGATGTAATTGTAAGATGCTTGGATACTAGAATATATCACGAATTTAATAAAGACTATTTACTTAAAGAAGTTACTTTCAAAGAAACCAATTTCGATGTCATCAAGCCATACTTTGAAAAAGACCCAACTTTGCTCACAGATTCAAACTTTATCGTTTCAAAACTTCCAACCAGATCAATAGTTACTGAAAAAATTTTATTAACCTTTAATGATCAAAAATAAAATATATATGTTAGTATAATATATAATGTTGTTTTTTTTAATTTATTCAACATACCTTATATTCATTTGCAAATACTATTTGGCTTATTTCTTTTGTTGCAATTGTTTGTTTTCTTTTTTGTTTTCTATATACAAAATTTTTTAAAAATTAGTTAATTTTTTTTTTTTTAGTTATTTAAATTGTATATTTACCATTCACCAATTACTACCCAGTCCATTTCATAATTATTAATATTTGTTTTATTTAATTTATCATTATTATACCTCATATATCTAAACTCTCCATTTATAACTGGGATAAATAAGTATTTCTTTGTTTATTCATGTGGGTTTTTTTTTTTTTTGGTTCTTTAAAAATTTTTGGGGGGGGGGGGTTTTTTTCCAAAAATTTTGGGAAATATTTATTTTCCTTTTTTTTTTTTTTTTTTACCCAAAAATTTTTATTTCTGGGGCCTTTCCAATTATTCCAATTTATTGTTTTTTATTTTTTTTTTTTTTTTTTTTTTTTTTTTTTTTTTTTTTTTTTTTTTTTTTTTGCTAAATTAAAAAAATGGGTAAAAATAGTGATATTAAAATTGATACCTACACCATACAAAATGCACCAAGAGAAAACAATCCTAAATATATAACCGAGATATTTGAAATCGAGCCAAACAAAAGACACGATATTATATAGATCCATAAGTAAGTAAAAAAAATAATAAAAAATAGAAATATTAGTATTAATATAAATATTTATTTTAAAAATAGTTTTACAAGAATTACATGTTCTAATCCATTTGACAAAGTTGCAACTTTTAAATTATTGGACGAAACTGATTTTAAAGTTGATATTCAACCACAAACTGTAGTAACATTAAAAAGAAAGGTTAATGGTCAAATGATGGCATTTTTAAATATAGGAGAAGTATCAATTACCATTAAAATAAATCAGGAAGAATAATTACATTATCATTATTTAAAATAATAATTTTACACTATATGTGTTATTAGATAAAATAAATAATATATACTACAATTAATAAAAAAAAAAATAAAAAAAATAAAAAAATAATAATAAATTATAATTGATTTAGTGTTTAAAAAAATAAAAAAAAACAGTTATATATTTATTGTTTTTTAAATATTAAAAATAAAAAAAAATAAAATTAAATATTAAAATAAAAAAAATAATAAAAATAAACTTCTACAACGTTGTGTTAATCAAAGTTATTTGCTATTTATTTAAAAACTATTTATGTGATAGAAAAAAAAACACAATTAAATGTTAGCTTTAAATGATTTTGTGTTATTTTTTGTTTTAATAAATCTCAATTTAATGTGATTTAATACTATGCTTTATTAGATATATAAAAAAATATATAAATCATAAATGATATAAAGTGTGTGAGAGAGAATCTGTGGGTTAGAGTGTGTTGTTGTTATTTTTGTAGTAGTTGTTTTAGAGTATTTTATGCCCCCCATACTAGTAATAAACACACAGTGTATCCCTATTTGTTTTTGTTTTTTTTAACACACTCTTATTTAAACAATATTCAAAATTATTATAATGAATTCAAAAGAATAACTCATAAAAGGAATTTTCATTATATAACCACACATAAACATACCTTTGGTAGGGCGTGTGCTTTTTTTTTTTATTTTTTTTTTTTTTTCTATTAATAACTATTTTTTTTATAAATTTTATTTAATTACCAAATTAAATTAAAATTTTAAAAAATAATAAAAATAATAATAATTTAAATTTAAAAAAAAAAACTGTTGATTGGAACACCCACAAAAATTTAATTTAAATTTTTTTTTTTTAAATATTCCCTCTAAATAATATGAAAATGCCCTTTATAAATAAGAAATCTTTATTTTAACGTTTATAAAGAAAAATTTTATAATAAATGTTAAATCAAAAATAGAAAAAAAAACCAAAAAAAATATTTTTTTTAATTTAAATTATTAATTTATTTTTTTTTATTTTTATTATTATTTTTTTTAATTTTTTTTAATTAATTGAATATGTTATTATTATAAATTTTAATTTTCTTTTTTTTTTTTTTTCTTTTTTTTTTTTATTATTTTTTTTCATTTTGTTTAATTGATATAACAATAACTACAACATTTATAAATTATAAAATATTTAAAACCTACAAAATAAATATTTTTTTTTTTCTTTTTTTCAACAACACAACATATTCTTCTCAACAATCAAAATCATATCTTTTGTAAATAGTAATAATAATAAAAAATGAGCGAAACTGTTGTCGAATCAAACCCAATTAATAACGAAACTACTGTTGCACCACCACATGTTGAAGAAACAAATCAACAAACTGAACAACACAATAATCCAGTTCAAGAAGAAACCAAAAAAGAAGAATGTTCCACTACCACTGAAACAACCGAATCCAATGAAAGCAAACCAAAAGAAGAACAAAAACAAGAGCATGAACAAGAACAAGAACAAGAAGAAAATTCTGAAACCAAACCAAATGAAGAAGAAAATAATGTAGAAGAACCAGTAGAAAACAATGCTGAACCATCAACCAATGAACATACTGATGCCAACACTACCGAACCACAAAATAAAGAGGTAGAAGAAAATAATAACACTTGTGATACTACTAATGGAACTGACGCTAATGAAGTTGAAAATAAGAAGAGAGCCGTTGACGAGGAACAAATTGATGATAATAAAGAATCAAGTAAAAAGAGAAAGCTAGAAGTTGAAGCTTCTGATAATGCCCAACAAGTTGAAGCCTAAAAAACACCCCAATTAGAAAAAAAAAAATTAAAAAAAAAAAAATTAAAAAAAAATTAGAAAATATCAATAAATGTAAATTCATGTCATAACAAAATCCAATAATGCATATATTTATTTATTTTAAATCCCTCCAATTTCAAACGATCAATTCTTTCTATTAAAAATTAATTTGGTTTAATTTAATTATTTTTTAATTAAAAACCAATAAAAAAAAAAAAAAAAAAAAAATAGTGCACATAAAATTTTTTTTGGGGGGTCATACCGCGCACACCCCAAAAAAAAGATTAGATGGTGATCATCATAATTTCTTTAAAGGTTTCTTTTAATTTTTTATTTTTTTTTAAATTTTATTTATATTAAAACTAAGAAAAAAATTTCTTTGTAAATAGTAAAACTAAATTAACTGGTGCTGGTTTTCCCCAATATCGATCATAAGAAAATTAAAATATAAGTTAAAAAACGTGAATAAATATTGGTATAACTATAATAATGCATCTAAGGTTTTCGTAACCTAAAGATAGGGCAAAAAAAAATTTATTAAAAAATAAATTTTATTAAAAATCTTTTTTTTTTTTTAGTTTTTTATTTTATTTTTTTTTTATTTTATTTTATTTTTTTTGTTTTTATTAAAATAAAAATCTTTTTTTTTTTTTTTTATATAATTGGTTTATATAGGTGTCTCTCAATTATTATTGAAAACACTCTTTTCAAAATTTTTTCCTTTTAATAAAAATAAAATTGATAAAAAAATATAAAAAATAAAAAATTTGATGAAGTATTCAGTAAATCAAACAGAAAGACTAATTTTTTTTTAATAATGTAAGTTTTTTTTAAAAAAAAAAAAAAAAAAAAAAAAAAAAAAAAAAATGGCATAACACACCGCACTACTTAATCAAATTCTTTATTTCGAATATCGAACCAGTATAATAATTATAAAAATAAATAATAATAATAATAATAATAATAATAAATCAATGATCATAATAATAATAATGAACAACACAGTTAATAGAAATAAAATAATCAAAGGCTACATTCAACATTTTATTAAATATGCTAAAGGGGTTTATTTAAAGCTTTTCAATTATTATAAACTTTACTTTTTATAGATATATATATTATTTTTTTTTTTAAAACTACCCGATATTCACACCAACACATTCTTAATATAACTCACATAGCACCCTTTGGTAAATCCTCGCGATATTATTTTTTTTTTTTTAAAATTTATTTGAATTGTTTTTTTTTTACACAATAAATTATTGATAGGTTATTTTTGGACTGTTTTTTTATTTTATAATAACCAATTTGTTCAAAATTATTCAATTCGACATAAAACCCACCACCAACAATAATAATATCAATATTATATTCAGGACACATACTCCTTACTAAAACTCAAATCATCTCTATAATCATATCAATAAACTGCAAATTATTTTTTTAATTTTTTTTTTTTATAATTTTTTTATTTTTTCACAAAAAAAACCAAATTTTTTAAAAAAAGATAGAAATTCTCTTTTCATTTATTTTAAAATAATGCCAATGTAATAACAACAATTAAAAATTAAATTAATATTAAAAAGAAGTTTAAATTCAATCATTTTGTTTAATTAAATATTAAAAAAAACTCTCATATGTACAGTAACAATAATAAATTAATTTTATACATTTACATAACCTACACCCACATAACACACATTTTAAAGAATCAACGATTAAACAAATAAATAAATAAACAAATAAATAAACAAATAAATAAATAATTAAAGTTTTTTATTTTATCACACACCCTAACACTTATTTTAGTTAATTTTAAATTATATTAACTAAATATATCTATTTAATTTATAATTAAAAATACCTACACTCCCACACAATAATATTACAATTATAAATCACTATCAAAACAAAAAAAATAATCATCATAAACATTTTATATAATGATATAGTTATCTTTTATTTATTTATCATCATATTTATTGATTTAAATCTAAAATAGAGATTGTAAAATAATCACATATAATAATAATAGAAATAATAATAATAACCATATAGTAATATTAAACCCCCTTTTATTTATTATTTTTTTTTTTTTTTGGGGTTTGGGGTGGTTTTTATCATAAAATTATTTTTGTTTTATTTTTTTTTTTAAAATTAATTTTAAAATTTTAATTTTGAAATATATAAAATATTTTATATCCATCAAAAGTTAAAATAACTTCAATCATTACCAATCATTTTTAATATATTTATTAATATAAATATTATATATTTTAAAATTACATACCATACTAAACACCACTACACTATACACACCTCCATCACATTTTCTCTCTACTTTTAATATTTTTTTAATGTTTATACTAATTTATTAATTTTTTATTTATTTATTTCTTATTTTTATTTATTTAAATATTATAATTTTTTAAATTATTTATTACCATATATATTTAATACCATTACCATTTTTAATAATAATAAATTTTATTTATAATAATATTTTTTTATTCAATTAAATCAATAAATAAATTTATCTAAAATGACATTAGTTTATGATAAATCATCTTTTTTAAATATAATGGCACAAGTAGCAGTACTTAATAGAACATCAAGTGGTGACTTACCAATAATAACTTCCAACAGTATTTCATTATTATCATCATCAAGTTCTACACAAAGTATTCAAAGTCCAGTTGGTAACCCATCAATAAATGTAACACCTTTAATAATACAAAATAAAGATGAGGAAAAGATGACACTATCTCAACTATTAGCGTGTTTTCCCGAGCCACCATCTTATATACCAATACAACCACCACAATTAAATACAAGTCAGCATAAACTCAGGAGAGATACCGTTGTTTCACCACCAACTATAACATCAAAACAATCAAGTATAATAGATTCCAAACCAAATAATATAATTTTAAATAATAGTATAAACAATATCAATAACTCACCACAAAAACAAGATTGTAATAATTTAGCGTCAGGTAATAATGGTTTAAATGCATCCAATAATCCAATAATAATATATAGCAGCAGTGAGGAACTACCAAATAATAATATACCATTAGATTGTTCAAGCGAATCTTCAAACTGCTCCGATTTACTTAACCAATCAACAAATTCAACATCAAACTACAATATTTTACAACAATCACAACAAAAAGAATCGATTCAATTAGGAAAAAGTCAAAGTTTAGATAATATTGATTTAATCGCATGTACATCTGAACCAATTATATTTAAAAATAAAGCAAACTCACCATCAAAAGAAATTGAACAACAAGATAGTGGTAATGTTACACCAATTCCACTTTCACCAATATCATCTGCCGGTCAAAGATCATCTCAATCATCTCAATCATCAGAAGATTCAAATAGTATTATAACAAATGCGAATGTTATAACCTCACCTCCAACATCACAATCACCACAACCAATATCACCATTGTCTGAATCATCCACAGCACCAACATCAGTAACAACACAACCACCAACCACAACCACCTCTACCAATAACACTAATAGCACCAATCACCCAGCCCTTTCAGTTAATAATAGAACCAAAACCACACATAATTTAACAAATCCAAACTCACCCAACCATAGTAATAAAAACCAAAACAACAGTAGTCCATTATCACCGGCAAAACGTTTAACCATTGCATTCGGTAGTTTAACTAGAGGTAGTTCAAACAACACCCCACAACCTGTATTATCAATTGTACCAATTAAATGGGAAATCAATTTAAATCAAAGTAAAGTTCAACTTAATGGTTCCTCTGCACAAGCACCAACCAATTTATTTGAATCCTATGTAAAATTATGTAAAGGGGATTATTCACCAAATACCTCAGATTTTAATAAAACTTTTAATCAACTTTTAGATTTAGACATCAATTCAAATTTATCAATGTTAGAAAAAGTTTATGAATCAATTCTTAAAGGAAACAATGGGTTACTCTCATCGAAAGACCAATTTCTCACAAAAGATAAATCAAATGTTAAATCTTTATTATCAGCTGTCAAGAGTGTGGTTAGCGAAGATATAGTAAATGTAAAACCAAGTAAATCGATGATGTATTTTGGAAGCTTTGGTAAAACTATTCCAATTAACCAAGAGGTCACCGATGAAATTATTTTAAATTCTTTTGCAAGCAAAAAAGTTAAATATAGAATTCTTTTGGGTCCACCATCAAAGAGTCACACAATATCGATACAAGAAAAAGAAGGTCACATTAATAAGAAATCATCAATAACTTTATCATTCTCTCTTGTTTTGAAATCATCAATAAAATTAAGACGTGTTGTTGTAATCGAAATTGAAGGTGGTGTTAAATACTTTATATTGATTCAAGTTGAATCCAATAAAACAGCATTTGGCCAACCAATAGAAGATTCTGAATTAGTAGAAGATAATACAAGTTTTGGTCCAATGAGCGTACCTAGAGCATTGGTAATTTTAAAGCAATCTTTCTTTTCATCTAATGCTCACCTTACCGAATCAATTTTCCGTTTGCCTCCTGCCAACGATAGTGAATATAATATAGTGAAGGATAGAATCAATAGAGAGGCAATAGGTTGTACAGAGCCACATTGTATAGCAACTTTAATCAAAGTATTTTTTAGGGAATTACCAAATTTACTCTTAAACGATTTGGATCCTCAAATATTCTTAAACTTTAAATCAACCTCAAATAGTAATATAGCTCAATCTGCAAATACTAGCAATACAGTTTCACAATCAAACTCAAACGAATCATTTACCGACCCAAATTTAGATCCTGTTTTTGTTGTTAATCAAATACCAGACCCAAAAAGATCGACCTTCCTCTGGCTAGTAGATCTTTTAGCTGAAGTTACCAAGTATGAAAATGAAAATAAAATGACTGCTAAAAACCTTTCAATTATTTTCTCACCCAATTTATATATACCTCCTTCCAATATTGTATCAACTGAAGATTCTTTTGCCATATCTGGTAAAGTTGTAAATTTTATTTTAGAATTAATTCAATTTAATAAATCTTTATAATCAAAATAAATAATCAATAATCAATAATAATAGAAATAATATAATAATAATTAATTATTCAAAAAAATAATAAAAGTTTAATAAAAGTTTAATAATATAAATTTTTTTTTTAAAAAAAATTAATCACTTTATTTATAATATATAAATATATGTATTTTTTATTATTTTATAATTTTTTAATTATGTAATTTGGTTTTTTTATTGTTCAAAGGAATTCCAAATTTCATAAAAACAAACAAATAATAAAAGAATAACAAAATATTTTTAATTGTTTTATTTATTTCTTATAATTAAATAGTTATTATATTTATCTATTATTATAATAAGTTATAATAAATAATATGTATTCTTTTAAATAATAAAAGTGTAAATATTCAAGAACAGAAATAATTAAAAGTTATGGAAATGTAACTTTAGTGTTTTTTATAGTAATTTTTTATTACTTTAATTTATTATTTATAATAATTTTAAAAATAACTTTTTATTAAATCTAATAAAAATCTCATTTTCATATGGAAACTCTTTTTTTTTTTTAAAAAAAACAATTTTTATAAACACAAATATTACCCCTCCCACACATGCCCAAATGAATAATAATAATAACAAATTTGTATATTTTTTAACAATAAAAAATAACTATTTGAATGTATCCATACATTTATTTAAAATAGGAAAAAAAAAAAAAAAAAAAAAAAAGAAAAAAAAAAAGAAAAAAAAAAAGAAAAATAAATAAATTAAATTATTTAGAAAAAAAAACAAAATTAAAATACAAAAATAATTTTTTTTATTTTTTTTTTTTTTTTTAAATTACGGTTATTTGAAGGAATCTATTGAGGATCTGAAAAAAAGACCATTATGCCAGTACAAAAATGGAAATCAATCATTTTGACACATAATTTTAATTAACAAACAAACAGAAACAACACACAACTACTAAAATTACGAGTTATTTTTATCATAATAATTTCTCTATTTTTATTATAAAAAAAAAAAAATAAAAAAAAAAATAAAATAAAATAAATAATAATATAATAATAATTTATTTTTATTTTATTTTATTTTTTTCTTCTCTCTATTTTTTCTATTTAAATTCAAATCCCGAATTTATTTTGTATATTTTAAAAAAAGCTTTTGTTTGTTAAACAAATAATAATTTTTAAAAAAAAAAAAAAATAATATTATTTTTATAGTTTAAAATTTCTAATATACACCAAACTAATACATTAAATATCGTTTATGTATATATATTTTAATTGTTCTTTTATACCTTCAAATTTATTTTTTTATTTTAAAAAAAACAAAATAAAAATTTTTTAGAAAATAATTTAATTTTAATAGTAACATTATTTCGTTGAATAAATAGATTAATCGTCATATTTATTTCATGTAAAATAAACACACACATTCATATTCAAATAAATCAAAAACTCACACAAATATACACTTTTAAATTTTTCAAAATTTATACTTTTATTAAAAATAATTCAAAATGGTTGCTACTGATAATAAAAATATTGCAATTTTAGGTGCAGGTAATCTTGGTATCTCTATTGGAAGAGGTATTGCTGCATCAAAGAAATATAGACCAAATCAAATTACATTTACAAAAAGAAATCTTGAAAATGTTCAATATTTAAAAGAAGAAGGTTTTCAATTAACTTCATCAAATCAAGATGCCGTTGCCAAAAGTCAAATTCTTATTGTAGCAGTATTACCAGCTCAAGTTCCATCACTTTTAGATAGTGTCAAAAGTTTAATTACTGAGGACCATATTATTATTAGTGTAGTTTTAGGACTTTCAACTAGTGACATTCGTTCATTCATTATGACCGATACACCAATCGTTAGAGCAATGCCAAATACTGCTATTCAATTCTGTGAATCAATGACCTGTATTGCAGTTCGTAGTGCTACTGCATCCCCAGCTGATACCCCTTACGAAAGAAGAAAGGACCACGCTTTAAAAATAACTGAAGATATTTTTAACTGTTGTGGTCAATGCATTACAATCTCTGAAGAAGCTATGGTTGCTGCTCCAGCTCTTTGTTCTTGCGGTATTGCATTCTTTTGTAGAATGATCAGAGCTGCCTCATCTGCTGGTTGTGAAATTGGTTTCCATGCTGAAGATGCCGTTCGTATCGCTGCTCAAACTGCTAAAGGTGCTGCTATTTTATTATTACAAAATGATCAACATCCAGAATCAGAAATTGATAAAGTTACTACTCCACAAGGTGCCACAATTACTGGTTTAAACACCATGGAGCATAATGGTCTTACCAGTTCCATCATTAAAGGTATTGTTTGTGCTGCTGAAAAATCTGCTAAAAAAGAAGCAAATAAACAAAAATAAACATTTTATTTTTATTTATTCCATTTCATTTTATTTAAAATAGGAATAAGTTCTCAATTTTTTATAACATACAAAATTTTATTTTAATATTCTTTATTTTATTTTATTTTTATTTATTCTTAGTTTTTTTTTTGTTAATAATAAGCGAATTTGATTTGTTTAAACTTTTTTTTTTTTTATAATTTAAAATATTTTTTATTTTTATTAATTTTATATTAAAAGATAAAATATAGTTGACAAAACAAATGCGGTAATAAATTGTAAGTTGAATTTCGTAGTTGAGGCAAATGAACCTAAATTTGGAGTTTCGGTTGGATCTTCATCACCAGTTGAGACAGGTCTGGTTGGTGGTGGGGTTGGGGTTCTTGTTGGAGCTCTAGAAGGAGTTCTTGAAGGGATAACTCTTGATGTTGTTGTTGCAGTTGTTGTTGCAGTTGTTGTTGCAGTTGTTGAGGCTGTAGTAGCAGTTGTTGTAGCAGTAGTTGTTGCTGCAGATGGGGATACGTTGGATGAGGCAATACCATTTAATGGTGAGGAATTACCTCCAGTTGCACCTGCATTATTACCTCCAGTTGCACCTGCACTATTTCCACCAGTGTTACCTCTTAGAGCGCTATTTCCACCATTTGCACCGGCAGTTGCACCGGCACTATTTCCACCAGTTGCACCGCTAGTTGCACCAGCACTATTTCCTCCAGTTGCACCGGCAGTAGCACCGGCACTATTTCCACCAGTTGCACCGCTAGTTGCACCAGCACTATTTCCTCCAGTTGCACCGGCACTATTTCCACCAGTTGCACCAGCAGTTGCACCGGCACTATTACCACTGGTTGCACCGGCAGTAGCACCAGCACTATTTCCTCCAGTTGCACCAGCACTATTACCACCGGTTGCACCGGCACTATTACCACCAGTTGCGCCTGCAGTTGCACCAGCACTATTTCCACCAGTTGCACCGGCAGTAGCACCAGCACTATTTCCTCCAGTTGCACCGGCACTATTACCACCAGTTGCGCCTGCAGTTGCACCAGCACTATTGCCACCAGTTGCGCCTGCAGTTGCACCAGCACTATTACCACCAGTTGCACCGGCACTATTACCACCAGTTGCTCCTGAAGTTGCACCGGCACTATTGCCACCAGTTGCACCGGCACTATTTCCACCAGTTGCTCCAGCAGTTGCTCCAGCACTATTTCCACCAGTTGCACCGGCAGTAGCACCAGCACTATTTCCTCCAGTTGCACCAGCAGTTACACCTGCACTATTGCCACCAGTAGCACCTGCACTATTACCTCCAGTTGCACCAGCGCTATTACCGCCAGTTGCACCAGCGCTATTTCCTCCAGTTGCACCAGATGATGAACCACTGTTTCCTCCAGTAGCACCGCCGCTTGATGATCCGCTATTTCCTCCAGTAGAACCACCAGATGATGAATTACCAGATGAGGAACTACCTCCGCTTGAAGATGAGCCACTTGAAGATGGGCCTGATGAATGGCCAGATGAGTGACCTGACGAATGACCACCACTTGATGAGGAAGAGCCACTTAATGAGTGACCTGATGCATGGCCTGATGAGTGACCTGATGAACTACCACTTGATGATGGACCAGATGAACCGCTTGATGATGAGTGACCAGATGAATGACCTGATGAATGACCACTGGATGAAGAGATACTATTGCCTCCACTATTTCCAGTGCTCGAACCACTTGCTGTTGTATGGTGTCCAGTATGATGTCCAGTATGATGACCACTATTTTCGCCACTATCACCAGTGCTCGAACCGCTTGAGGATGTATGGTGTCCAGTATGGTGTCCAGTATGATGACCACTATTTTCGCCACTACCACTGGTGGAACCAGAACTTGATGATGTATGGTGTCCAGTATGGTGTCCGGTATGATGGCCACTATTTTCACCACTACCACTGGTGGAACCAGAGCTTGATGATGTATGGTGTCCAGTATGGTGTCCAGTATGATGGCCACTATTTTCACCACTACCACTGGTGGAACCAGAGCTTGATGATGTATGGTGTCCGGTGTGGTGTCCAGTATGATGGCCACTATTTTCACCACTACCACCGATGGCACCAGAACTCCAACCACTTGAAGTTGTATGGTGTCCAGAATGATGACCGGTATGGCCAGAGTGATGACCAGAATGACCGCCATTATCCTCGCAGTCATTTATATAGGTTGAGTCAAATAATATTAAATCTACACAGGAATAAAATGTTTCAGAGTGGTATTTGTTTCCACCTTCTAAGGAGAGTTGAAGGGTTGCTTTTGTTCTTGATGTAAAATCTAACTCTGGTAATCTTTCACCAAATGCTGGTAATGTTATAAGGGATTCTCCATCCGAATAAAATGCATCAAAACTATGTATTCCATATATTTTATCATCTACAACCATATCTAGTTTATACTTATATTGGCCTTTGAAATCTAAACTTTGATAGATAGTGAATACATTGCTTCTTGAAACATCGAAATAACTTTTAAAATTTAAATTAGTATATGATAATAGATAAGTTTTATAATATAATATTAAAACCTACATTCTACGGGAATCGTCGCAATCTGATGCTTTACATCTTTTGGTTATATGACATCCTCTGATATCATATTTACTGCAGGGATATCTGGGTGGAGGGAATACAAAACCCATATGCCCATAAATTGTATTAATATTAAATAGCACTAAGATTAGTGCTATTAATAATAATCTCATTTTTTTATATTATCTTTTATTTGTAATGGTACAATTATTATTTATATAAATAGTAAAAAAGAAGGGTGGGTCGAAAAATAAAAAAAAATATTAATAAAATAAGAAAAAAATAAATTTAATGTTTTTATAATTATTATTTTATTATTTTATTATTTTATTATTTAATGTATTGTGTTTTATTATTACAAATAAATTATATAAAATTTAAAAAAAAAATATTATATGATTAAATTATTATTATTATTAAAAAAAAAAAAAAAGAAAAAAAAATTTTAAAAAAAATATATATTAAGAATGAGGATTTAATTATTTGTAAATTATTCCAATTAAAAATTATTTAATGTAACTACTATATATAATATACAGTTATACATTAATGAATTTATTTAAATAAAATATTTTACAAATTTTTTACGAATAGTCAAATTTGAAATTATATTGTGTGTTGTGTGGGTTTTTATGAAAAAATAATAATAATAATAATCCATTGATTAATTGTTTTTGAAAATAAAAGGGGGTAAATGAAAAAATATAAAAATATTAGAGCATATAACACACATATTGTTTAATTTTTACTGGTGTGGGAACATTACTTGTGTGTATTTTATTATTAAAATGTAAATAAAGATATTTTTTTTGTATTTTATTAAATACTTACTATTTTTTTTTACTCTAAGATGAAACTTTGAGTTATGATAAAAGTTAAAAACATTATATTTATAATCATTTTAAAATGGGTTAATCCTGGTTTTTAAAAAAGGAAATTTAATAATTATTAAAATTTTAATAAAATTTTATTATTGCACTATTATGGGTAAAGAAAAAAAAAATAAAAAAAAAAAATAAAAAAAGAATTTAATAAATTAAATTAAATATAATATATATAAAGAAGAATTCTCTAAAGTTATAATTGGGTAATAGAGAATGTAAAGAAAAAAAAAAGGTTCAAGACGAAGTTCAATGTTGACCCAAAGTATAGTGGTAAACTAATATGCTAGTATCAAGCAACGCTAAAGTAGTGACCCTCTTTTCGAACATATTTAAAAAAATTCAAACAATAAATAAAAATAAAAAATAAAAAAATAAATAAGTTATTTTTTTAAATTAATTATTATAAATCTGTTTTTATTTATTTATTTTTGTTTATAATTTAAAAATTATGATACTTAGAGCTTCAACCAAATAAAATTATGTTAGTTTTTTCTTAAAAAATTATTTTGATAATTAATATATTTTAATTAAAATTATATTAATTAAAATTATATTAATTAATATTAAAATAAAATTATACTAATTTAATTAATATTAATATATTTTACCTTGTATATGAAGGCCAAATAATTTTCCTTGGTATCAATACAAACCCACTCCACATTACCATTTAATACTGTTATGTTGGTTTTATTTTAATGCGTAACTAACCACACCAAATTAATGTAAATCATTTTTAATTTCACACATTTTTGATAAACATGTCCACGTTATTTTTATTTATGATTAATTTTTATAATAAACAAATATTTATTAACCTAAAAAATAATTAAAAAAAAAATAAAATAAAAAAAAAAAAAATTAATTTTAAAAAACTTTTTTTTTTGTTTTTTTTTTTTAAACACACTCCGCAATATATATTTAAAATAATGTATCATTTTTGACATTTTCTATTGTTTACGTTATGAAATGGATATATTAAAATAAATTATAATAATTTTTTTTTTCTTTTTTTATTTTTATTGTTTTTTTTATTTTTATTTTTTTTTGTTTTGTTTTGTTTTATTATTGTAATTATATATTTAAATTCGAAAACTTTTTAATTGGTTATTTGTAGTTTTATTAAACATTCATATTGTATATATTTATATTATTTGTATTCTTTATATTATTTATATTGTTTATATTATTTTATCTTTTTAATAGGTCTTATTTTTAAAGATTTTTTTTTAAATGTAATTTTTTTTTATTTTTTTTTTTTTTTGTAAAATAATAATATAATAATGACCAGTTTTCAAATCCCAAACATCAACTATAACAGTAACAAAAATAATCAAGAAGAAACCACTGCCAAAGAATTAAAGAGGTCACAGGATTATAATTCAGAAGAATTTCAAGAAATTGAAATACCAATTGATGATTATGATCATTTTACAAGTCATATAGAAAAGATAGAAGGAGTCACTACACCCAACGATAAATCAACAAAAAAAAGCAATAATATTAACAATAACAACATCAACAACAATAATGAATATAGTATTGATATTGATAGCAGTTATAGTGACGATGAAAGTGATGTAGTAGATTACAAAACGATTCAACCAGGTGTCATTAAAGCACACAATAAAGTGGTACTAGTAATTGTAAATAATAAAGATGGTACTCTTACATTGAATGCCAAATACCCAAGAGAATTATCACATTGTTTTTCATCATCTGACTTTTTGCAAATTAAAAGTGAAATCAACTCTTTGAAATCCCACACTGACTCTTTATTCAATAGATTGATTGTTGCCTTTTCTGTTGGTGGTGCCATTTGTGTTCTGGTTTCTTTATTATTATGGTACATCAATTCAAATTTCATAACAATTGGTTCAATCGTATGTTTATCAGTTGGTGTTTTATTGTGGATAGTTTTTGGTATTTTTATTGAACTAAAGCATTATTATGTAAGTATACATTATTTATATTAATATAATAAATAAAACATTAATAGCTAATCATGGTAATTACAATAATAGAGAATTAAAAATAGAAAAGATTATTTTAAAGATTTAAACCGAAGATTTGATCATACAGGGTTAAGATTTAGAGCAAAATATGATAAATCAAGACATCAAAATCCAATTGGGCTAATTTTAGAATTTCCAAAATCACAACAATAATAATTTAATTATAAATATCAATATTGCAATAACATATTTACAATTATCAGTAATCAACTCACAATCACTCATATACCCTCGTCAGTTTTACATTATTATAGTTTAATACCTTTTATAAATCCAATTGGGGGTTATTTTTTTATATTTATTTTTTTTAATTTAATTTTTTTATTTTTTCATTTTTTTTTTTTATGTGTTTGTGTGTGTATATTAAATATTAAATATTGTTTTTTTTTCTTGTACATATAATTATTTTATCTTTTTGTATCATTTAAATAATATTATAAAACAATTAAATAAAAGTAACATATTTTATATGTTTTTTTAAAAAAAAAATAAAAGAATGAAGATTTTATTATTTTTTATTCTATTAATATTGTTGGTAAATTTCAAAGAATGCAATTCTCAAGAATCATCATCATCATCAGACGATCAAGGAGATAACTCATTTTGTATTGGTAAAACTGCATACGAATGTATGAGTTCAGGGGCATGTTGTGTTTGGTGTGAAGGATTAATCAATGGAACCACACCATCACCATCAGAAACACCAACACCAACACCAACACCAACACTAACTCCAACACCAACACCTTCTAACACTACCGGGTCCTGCCATTTCATTCCAGAGATAACCACTTGTTCCGATATGAAATTTGAAGTTTGTGCAAATTATAACATAACTCAATGTACATGTAATTTTAGAGGAAGTAATTCAATATCAAATTTCAATTCCATTCATCTCAGTTATTTAGTTTTTTTAATTATTTCAATTTCAATATTTTTAAACCTTATTTAATAATTTAAAATAATAATAATATGGTACCATATTAATCAAAAAAAAAAAAAAATTTTTAAAAAATAAATTTATATTATTAATTTATTTTATTATTTATTTAAATTTAACTCACTCTTTTCTTTTTTTGGTTATTATGTTTTTTTTCTCATATAAAATTATTTTTACAGTTGCAATAAACACACAACTTAATATTTATTAACCCCATTTGGTTTTTAATTTAATTTTTTTTAATTTATTTTTTTTTAAATTTATTTTTAATTTTTTTGTATTTTTTATGATTATAATTTTTATTTTTTATTTCTGTTCACATAAATTTATTTATCATAGATACAATTAAATAGTAATAATAATAATAGTATATTCTAAATAACTATAAATAATACTATAATAATAAAATGATAGAACAATCAGATAATTATTCTTTATCATTCGAAATTCTATTTTGGAAAGTCTTTCACAATAGATTTTTATTTGAATTAATTTTTGAAGTTTTAAAAACAATGCCAATAGAATATAGTATACCCTCAAAATATTATGTTGGTAATAGAATAACTTTCAAAAATATTTGCTCTTTAAAATGGTTTGTGGAGAATTCTCAAATGGAATTATTGGGTGATAAACTAAAGAGCGATCAATATATTTTCATAGATAAAGGATCAATATTAGATTTTTTCAAAAAATGCAACAATATTACAATTATTGACCAGTTTTTAAAGAAAAAAGAGAACCAAATAAAAAATATAACTAATTTAATAAGCGTTTTGGTTGAAAGTAATAACCATGAGGCCCTACAAATAGCCTTAAGTAATACAAATATGGATCAGAATCCAATAACCATCGAGATAATAAAGAATTCAATTTTATTTTCATCTCCCCAAGTTTTAAAACACCTTTTATCAAAATACCAAGAGCATCAATTAAATAAACCAATTGATTTAGAATTTCAAGAAAAATTAAAACAAGATTCACTTTATTGGGCCTCTCAGAATACAGCGCACCTGGACGAAATGTTACAGTTTATACTATCAGATGATCAGCTTTATAATAATAATTCAACAGAACCAATAAATAATAGAAACAAAATTGACTATTTATGTTATAGAACAATAAAATCTTTAGAAATCAAAAAAAAGTTATTTGAAATGGATCTTGTAACAAAAACAAATATTAATTGGTTTTCTGAAAATATTATCGAATCCCTTAGAGAAATAGAGTATGATACTTTAATTTTTTATATACAACAAATATTTATACTATGCTCTGAGGAAGATTTTGCAATCAATACATTAAACCACGACATTTGTTATTATAAAAAAAAAAAAGATAATGATAATAATAATAACAATAATAATAATAATAATAATAATAATAATAATAATAATAATAATAATAATAATAATAGTAATAACAATTATATTTTTTTTAATAATAATAAAAATAATAGTAATAGCAATCATATTTTAAATTGTTTTAAAGATACAACTTTGGCTCTTGAAATAATTAAACTTCAAAGAGATTTTACCAGCAATGATGATTGCTCCCCAACCATAGAAAGATTAAATAAAATTAACTCAATAATTAGAAATTCAAAATATCCAATGGAGGAGCAAATGAAACAATTAAAGAAAATACTAGTCATCACTACTAAATCAGAGAGATTATTTTTAGAATACATGTTTGAATATGATGAAATTTTAGAAAACATCAGTAGTTACAAGGTTTACCAGTACACATTTACCGTTTTTAGTTTAAATGGCCTAAAATACCTAAAATACCTATTCTCTGTAAAAGGGCAGCAACCTTTCGAGTTAAAAAATATATATTTCAACTATTTTGATTATGAAAAAAATAAAGATATTTTATTAGCAAACCAACCAAGAATTATTCAATTTATCAAATCCTACTTTTCAAAAGAATCAACTGAAAACCAAATTCCCTTTAAGCATTGGGACCAAGTGTTTGAATTTTTAATTGTCAACTGCCCAACTTCAGAAACAATGCATGAAATCGTCAGATTACCCAATATTCCAAAATCAATAATTGGCTATACAGGTTCATTTGGTATTAAAGAATTTAAAAATTACAAAACACTATTAGAACTAATTTCCCAAAATCAAATATCAAAATCAAATATTTCAGCAAGTTATTTACCAATTGGAAATATTAATTTAATCGCCTCAACAGAACTTTTAATTCCATCATTACCTAAAAAAAACATCTACACATTTTTATTTTATAAAAGCTTAGCAGAATTTGATTTACCCACATTAAAATATATAGATTCAATGGGTATAAAAATTGATATATATAGTACTGATTTTTTAAGCTTATTAATAAAATCATATTCAAACAATAATAATAATAATGATAAAAATAACATTAATAATAATATTAATAATAATAATAATAATAATAATAATAATAATAATAATAATAATAATAATAATAATAATAATAATAATAATAATAACAATAACAGTTCTCAAATAGGTTGTGGTAGCAATTTAAAATTTGAAAAAACAATCAGACTATTAAAATATTTAAACGAAAGTGGTTATAAAAGTTTTTCAGAAACATTGTTTTTCCATTTTATAAAAATTTTATTAAAAAATCTTTCAGCTGAAGAAATTGAAGACAAAAGGTTAGAAATTAATTTCAATCACTTCCCATCAGCATCAGTTCAGTTATTTTTGTACTATAGTTTAGAAAGTTACAGTGTACCACATTGTAAAAAAATACTAAATAATCAACAACAGCTACAACAGGAAAAAGAAATAAAATATTATTTTGATCACAATCATTTAGACCCAAAAAATATTCAATCAATAATTTTAAAAAATCCAGATATGCACTATTTCGTCTATGAAGCTGGGAAGCATTCTTATAAAGCAGATCAATTTAGAAAAGTCCCATATATCTTAAAGTATGGTTATTTTAAAATTCTTCAATTGATAGAATTCCTTTTATTCTACCTACCAAAGAGCACCATTGTCTTGATTCATCCGGTATTTGACCATCTCTACAAAAGACTATTGCAATCTATGGAGGTAAACTTTGAAGTTGTTTCAAGAGTAAATCGTTTATTTAAAGAACATTCAGTTGTGATCAAAATCCAAGCATTCCACATTTTTTACTATTTACATCTTAGGTCTGTAAAGCTAAGCGAGTATATAATGTCAAAAAAAAATATAATGGATGTAATTGTATATGGAACTAATACAAGACAATACCGTTACGACTCTAAAAGATCATATAACTATCATGGCTACGATATTGCAAAATATTTATCTCCCGAAGTATTTTCATTTGATTCCATTTTCAACAAATCGTTTGAAAAAATATTATTAAAGTTAATAAATCAACTATCAATCGTACCATTTCAATGTGAAAAAAAAGATGGAGCTAATTCTACCAACAACAACAGCAGCAGCAACAATCATAATAACCAAAATAACATTAGTTTAGAACCGGCATCTATATTTGCACCATTGCAATCTGATGTTGAAGAAACCTTTAGCCCTACTTCCTCTCCTTCCAATGATAAACGTTTTGCAAGTTACAAAGAAGATATAAACTATATATTAAAACTTGGGTCTGGGCATTTAAATTTATTAATTTTATTAATTAATAATAGATTATCGATTCCAGAAGCAATGAAACCTTTAGAAGATTTTTCAACAACCAATAATAATAATAATAATAATAATAATAATAATAATAATAATAATAATAATAATAATAACAATAAAAACATACCTATCAAAAAAATAGAAATTACAAATGATATAAAAAAAAATATTATACAAATTATAAATATCTATCAAATTCAATTGTTGGATCAGTTTAATTTTAATTTTAAAACAATTTTAAAACAAAGTATTGAAACTAATAGAATCGATATAATATGTGATTTATTATTAAATGCAAATAGCTATAGTTTTAGTGGGCAAGAAAAATTGGTCGATATTACAACATATAAAATGTTTTATAATACTTTGATATCAAATCCATCATATATGGGTATCATCGATTACATTTTAAAGAACCATTCAAAATATTTAAAAAAAACAAATATACAATTTTATAAAAAAATTAAAGAATATTTTAAGGAAAATAATTTTTAAAAACCAAAATAAAGCATTGTAGTTAAACAATATTATTATATTTTTTTTTTTTTTTTGTATTTTTTTTTTATAATCATTCCTATATTCCTAGGGTTAAATTCAAAAAATTTCCTTATCGTTTGAAATTTCAATAATCATGGGCCAATAAAAAATTAATTATTTAAAAAAAAACGAATTTGATTGGTTTTACAAACGATAAAAAATATTTTTCCTTTCGTTTGAGCAAATTTTAATTTTAAAAATCTAATATATATTATTATTTGAACTATTTTTTTTTTATTAATAAATTTTTTTTTATTTTTTTTTAATTTTTTTTTTTTTAATTTTATTTACCTTCTAAAAAAATGATACAAACAAACTATTTTTTTTTTACCTTTTTTTGTTTGTTTAAATAAAATCGAAAATATATTTTTTAATTATATTTTGTAAACTATATAAAATGTCTTTAAAGACTGTTGTTTTATTATTCACTATTTTTATGGTTGCAACTGTTTTATCATGTAAAAACAAAGCATGCCTAAATAAAAGATATCCAATGCCAGAGGATGTTCCAGTATGTTTTTTATAATTAAATAATAGTTGTAAAGTAATTACACTAAAAAATATTTATTAATATTAACAGGTCCCACTTAAACATCATCTAAGCCACAAGGAAAGAGTTTTACATGAAACCAAAATGCAAGAATTAATTGACTATACCAAAGCTAAAAATGCCTGGTTCGGTTCATCAATTGTTCATAAAAATGGTACAACCGTTTGCTATGGTGTTAATGAAAGCCATCAATATAACGATCCAGTATGTAGTATAATATATTCCTGATTTTAAAATGGAAAATATTAACAAAAAATTATATTCCTTTCTAGACTCTTCATGGTGAAATGGTAGTTATGCATAACTGTTCAAAATTATTTGGTATTACAAACTATTCAAACTATACTCTTTATACCACTGGTGAATCTTGTCCAATGTGTCAATCTGCTGCAATGTAAATTATTTAATTTTATAAAAAGAATTTTCGACCCATATTTATAAATTAATTTTTTTTCTTTATAGGTGGAACAAATTTTCAACAATTGTTTATGCTACATCAATTGAAACCATGTATTGTGACAAATGCTTGGGCCAAATTCTTATTGATTCAAACTTTTTAGCTGCTTTTGGTAATGGTTTACAAAATGGCTATGTTCCACCAGTTATTATTGGTGGTATTTTAGAAGATGTAACCAATAGAGAAATCTTCCCAGATGCTTGCGATCCAAACTATGAACTCGCATGGAAAGTTACACCAAACTGTACCAAAAAACATCATTAAATAAATAAAAAATTTATTATATACATTTAAATGTAAAAAAAATAAAAAAGAAAATTGGAGATAAAAAATAGTTTATTTTTTTTTTTTATGTTTAAATATCGGTGGAAAAAGTTAATTCACGATTTTCTTCTAGTTCTTTTAATCTTGTTTCATAAGTTGCTTTAGCAATTTGATAGGAATCTGAACCTAAATCCAATGATGAGGGTAATTTACCAGTTGTATTTGAGAGGTTGTATAATGTTTGGGCAACTTTAATTGGATCACCTTTGGCAAATGGTGAATACTTTTTAATCATCTCAACAAGTTCATTGGTCTTGTATTCTTCGATTGGATTTTTGGTTGATGCAAAGTTACCACCACTTGAAAAACTTGTACGGATACCGCCCAACCCAATTAAAACTACAGATACATTGAATGGTTCTAATTCTTTTTGAAGTGAATTTGAAATACCATTAATGGCATGCTTGGTCGATTCGTATGCTGAATATTTGCCACCAATAGTTGAGTATCCACAATATGATGAAATATTTAATACTAAACCAGAACGTTGTTCTCTAAGATATGGGGCTGTGTGTCTAATTACATTATAAACACCAAATACATTTACTGCATAAATCTTTTGGATATCATCAGCTGATAATTCCTCTACGGCACCTATAAAACCATATCCACTATTATTTACAACTACATCTATTCTACCGTGTACTTCAATGGTTTTCTTTACACTTTCTTTTACACTTTCATCATTTGTGATATCGGTTTTAATTGCCAATAACTTTTCTAAATTCTTTGTATCCTTTTTCTTTAACTCATCAATAGTTTGATCTGGGTAACGTGTAATAGCTGTTACCCTATTACCATTATTTAATAATAATTCTATTAAATCCAATCCAATGCCGGTGCTTGTACCTTAATTATTTTTTAAAAAAAATTAATTTTAAAATAAAAATAAATAAAAATAATAAAAAATATACCCACCAGTGACGTACCAAACTTTATTATCACCCTTATTGTTATTATTAATAGCTTCCATTTTTATTTGATTAATTATTTGATTTAGTTTATTTGATTTTTATAATTTTATTTGATTGAAATATTTTTTTTTTGTTTTTAAATAGTTTTTTTTTTTTAAAAAAATGTATGTATTTCTTTGTTTAAAAAAAATCCCATTTTTTATTTTTTTAAAAGAATCATTTTTTTAAATGTAATAATTTTATAATACATTTTCTAAGAACTTAAAAATATTCATTATTTTTTTTAAATTTTAGAAAAATAATTATTTGAAGTGGGACATTATTAATAGGAGTGCTTATTTAGGTCAAAGAAGGTTTCCAAAAAATCAAACTCTATAAAAACCAATAAATAAAAAAAATTCAATTAAAATTCAAAAAAAATTTTTATAAAAATTATTTTTTTTTTTTTTTATTAATTTTGGGCACCGCAATTAGAATGTAATGAACTGTCTAGTGTTGAAAATAAATGCAGGATTTTTTGCTATATAGTTTTAACTTTATTATAATAATAACAATAACAAAAAGAGTTAAATAATTATTTTAAAAAATAAATATATTAATAAATATATTTAAAAAAAAAAATAAAGATGATTTTTTTTTTTCTATTTTTTTTTTATTTAAAAAGTTTTATAGTTTTTTTTTTTTTTTTTTTTGGGGATTTCAACAAAATTTGTTAATATAATGTTGATGATACAAGATGTAGATAAATATGGTGAATAATTGAATAAACCCTAATAAAAAATTTAGAGGTTACCACGTTCAGCTTGTTGACGTTCAATGGCTTCGAAAAGAGCTTTGAAGTTACCAGCACCGAAACCTTGATGGTTGTTTCTTTGGATAATTTCAAAGAAAACGGTTGGTTTATCTTCAACATTGTTGGTAAAGATTTGTAAGAGATAACCTTTATCATCATAATCGATGAGGATGTGGAGTTCTTCTAATTTATCTAAATCTTCTTTGACAGTAATTGGGGCATGGGCTAATTTTTCTCTAAGTGAAACATAATAAGTTTTTGGAACAGTTAAAAATTGAACACCACGTTGTCTTAAACGAATGATTGAATCGATAATGTTGTCAGTTTTAAGGGCAATGTGTTGGACACCAGCACCATTGTAGAAATCGACGTATTCTTGAATTTGACTCTTTCTGATACCATTGGCTGGTTCATTGATTGGTAATTTAACTTTTTCACTGCTATCTGAAACGACAATTGATCTTAATGATGAGTATTCAGTGTGGATGGTTTTGTCATCAACAGACCAGAAACGGTGGAACTTTAATACTTTTTCGTACCATTCAACAACTGGAGTCATTTGTTGATCGGCATGGTTACTTACAACGTGGTCAACAATGTTGAGACCAACTGGTTCGGTAATTTTAGATAATGGATCTGAAGTAACTTTATATGAGAAACCTGGTAAATGAGCACCTTTGTATTGGCTTCTATCGATGAAGGTGTGAGTTGTTTCACCATATGGACCCATGATGGTAGCTAAAGTGACAGTACCATGTTCGTCTTTAATTTGGTGTGGTTCTTTGACTGATTTAGCACCATTCTTGACTGCTTCATCATAAATAAATTTGACGTCTTTAACTCTGAAAGCAATATCTTTGACACCATCACCATGTCTCATCATGTGATCAGCATAATCTTTATTGTCACCAGTTAATGGTGAGGTGAAGGCCATAATAATTTCATTTTGACGAACAACGTGGGTAGCATACTCACGGTTACCAGTTTCTAAACCACTGTAGGCAACATTTTCAAAACCAAATCTTGCATTATAATAAACGGCACTTTGTAAAGCGTTACCAACCCAAAAAGTAACATGGTCAAAACCTAAATAATCTGCTAAATTTTCCTATTAATATAATTTAATTAATTAGTATATGGTTTTATTTAATTTATATATTTATAATATAAAATTTATATGGCTAACTTTAGTTATTTAATATATTATTATTATGATGATCATTATTATTATTATTATTATTATTATTATAATTATTATTATATAAATTTATAAAAAAAATTTTTTTTGAAAATTAAAAGATATTTTTCATAAAATTTTATCCAAAGAAATAAAATATTTTATCTTTTTTTTTTTCTTTTCTTTTTTATAATTTTATATTGATATTTATTAGGGTAATATTTATTAAAATAAAAATTTTAAATGATTTTTTATTATTATTTACCATATTTTTTATAATATATGTATCTTACCATTATATATATATTTTATTTAAAAACTCTCGTGTCTATTTAAAAAATAAAATGAAATAAAAAAAAAAAATTTATCTTTGTAAATTTCAAAAAAAAAAAAATAAAAAATAAAAAAAAAAAAAAAAATAATAAAAAAATTTAAATAAAAAAAAAAAAAAAAAAATTTATTTATTTTTTTATTTTTGTATATTATCAAAATTTAATTTATATAATTTTTTTTATTTTTTTTTATTCCATTTAAATTTCCTCATTTTTTTTTAAAGGGCATATAACGCTATAGTATCATTATACTATTTTTGTTTTTTTTTTTTAAAAAAGTTTTATTTTATTTTTTTATTTATTTTTTTTATTTTTTTGTTTACAGTTTTTCAATTATTATTTGAAAGCTGAAATTTAATCTTATATTTTTTTTTGATTTTAATTTAGAAATTACGTTTTTTTACTTTTTTAATATTTTTTTTTCGTTCTCACAGTCCACACTGCTTCTAAAGAATTAAATTTTATTATATCACCAATATAACACCAAACAGGATTTTTTATTAATGAAAGCCTTTTAATATCACTTTATTATAAATAATTATAAATACTAATGGTTTTATTTTATAAAAAAAGATTTAATTTGTAGGGATGAAACATTTGTGTTAAAGTATATTTATTATTTCCATTAATAGAAAATACCACAAAAAAATGTTTAGGTGATCATTTATTTTTAAAAACAATTATTTTTATCTTTAAAATAATTTAATTATTGTTATTTGAGATATTACAATTGTTTTTTTTTTTTAAATTTTTTTTAACACACATAATTAATATATACATCTTCAACTTTTAAATGGTTTTGATAATTCAAATATTTAGAAAATAAAGATAATGATATTAATATAATGGATTCCAAATTAACAACAACAACAACAAAAACAACAACAAACAAAAACCACCATAAAACAAAACAAATATGTGTTAATTTTTCCCTACATAAAAAATAAAAAATAAAAAATTTAAAAAATAAACAAATCTGCAAATCTAAATACATTAAAGTATTTAATTCTATTAGAAGGGTTTAGAACAATTTATAAATTATTTTTTTATTAAAAATATTATTTTCTCTTTTGATCAAAAACTATCTTTTTTTATTTTTTTAAATTTTAGAAAACTATGCTTAAATAATATAGCACTAACCAAATCGTCTAAATCTTCCAAATTACTTCGATATGACTGTCCACTGGAGTTTTAACTTATAAAACTGGTGGATCCTTAAATACTGTTGATGGTTGGGGATTTTTATACAATAAATTTAATTTAAATTTTCATTTAGTTTCGCTCCGAATCTTTTTTTTATGTATAAATTTTTTTTTTTTTAAATTTCTTTCTTTTTGTGTATTTTTCAAAATGTCACATATTATATTTTAATTTTTACAAAAAATAGTGATTTTGAAAAAAATGATTTATTTAAAATAAAATAGTGATTATTTTTTTTTTATGTTTTTTTTAACGTGAAGTCCATTCAAATAGTATCTTCAGTTTGGGAAAAGATGATATATCCTAAATTATATAAATAATAATATATATATTTGTTTTCAATTTTTTTTTATTTTTAATTTTTTTAATTTTTAAAAAATTTTTTTAAAATTTTTTTTTATTTTAATTTTTTTTTTTTTTTTTCATCATTTTTTATTATTTAACTAAAATATTATAAATAAATTATAGAAATGGATCCAGTCTCAGTTGGTAATTTTCATTGGAATAGTATATTTTGTCAATGTAAAAATTCTAATTCTATCAAATCTTTATACTTTTTAAAAAACAGGTAAAGCTTTTGCTGAACATTATTACCGTATTTTCGATAACAATCGTTCTTCCTTAAATACCATTTATGTAGGTATATGTTTATTTGGTTTATTGTTCAAGGAGCTGTAGATTATTTTTATTTAGGAAAGAAAGAAAAAAGGGGATTTTCTCTGTATAAATATATTGGATTTTTAAAAATATTTCGAAAAGCAATACCCCAAAGCATATTATTGGGCCAAACAGCGTGATTACTAATATAATCTAATTATTTATATTTAATATAGCAACCACAAAGTATTTTAACTTGGGAAGTAAGTATACATCTCTTCATTTATTTATAGTATGACTTTTTTACTTATTTTATTTTTAAACTCTTATCAATTAAAAGGGCAAAGTATTCCAAGGTCAACAAGCCATCTGTACCTATATTAATGTATGTATATTTCTGTTTTTTAAAAAACTACTTTATATTATCAACTTTACTCTAACAGTATTCATAAAAATATACAGGAACTTCCATTCCAAAAAGTTGAAAGAAAAATCCAATCAATTGATTCACAACCAACCATCATTCCAAACTTCCAACCAGGTGTTTTAGTTACAATTACTGGTACTTTAGTTGTAGGTTTATTTTGAATAAAAATAAAAGTTTATGGATAGAGACTAATTTTTTTTTTTTTTTTCAGATTGATGGTGAACCAAAACCATTAAAATATGTTCAAGTTTTCAATCTTCTTCCAAATCAAGGTTCATATTTATTATTAAATGACTTCTTCAGATTCTCATTAGATTAAAAAATTTAAAAATTTAAAAGATAATAAAAATTTTATTTAAAATAGTTATAAAACAAAAACAAAAACAAAAAAAAAAAAAAAAACAAATAAATTTACCCTAATGGTTTTTTGTATTTAAAGAATATTTCGAAAACTTTTTTAACTATAGTTACATTTATTACTCTTTAAGTATTTTTATTTAAAGGAAAAAATTTATTTATTTTTAATATTAAAATACAAAGAATTTTATTTTTTGGTTTTTTATAAAATACAATATTATAAAGTTATTTATTATTATTGTTGTTGAAGTGTTGCTTTTTGTTGCTGTAATTATTATTATATTTAATTTGGAGTTGAAAAAAAATTATTCATTTATAAATCGTGATAAGGTTCTAAACTTGAAAAAATTGCAATATCGAATAAATCATAAATAAATCTTCTTGCACCTAATCTATATTTAAAGGTATTTAAAAGATTTAAGACGGCATGTAACATTTCACCAGAGGCAAAATGATCAGGATATTTGACCTTTAAACGTTTTAAATTTTTAGAAGCACCTTCAGCAGTGATGTGAGATGAAAGGTTACCTACAAAAGTAATGATTTCATTTTTAATTGGATCGTTGAAATAATTTGCTGGTAAAGTTTCGAATGAGTGATCAGCCCAAGAGCCTAAATAGTCATATGTTGGTACAGTGAGGAATAAACTCTTTTTAAAATCTTTTGGTAAGAGAATACGTGAGTTTAAATCTTGAGGACTTTCCCAACCGAATTGGTTGAAAATTGGTTGTGCTTCTTCGATACAAGAGATCATACCCAATGCATAGAAACAAGTGCTACGAAGAGAGAGACATGGTGACTTTTCAGAGATATCAATTAAGAGACTGATAATTGAGTTGTTGGAGTCTTGTTTAATGAAAGCTGAAAAACCATCTTGGCTTGAACCAATATGACCAATTGCAATTAATGCTGCTCTTTTATCTAATTGTTTAGCAGATGGATCATTAAGGACCTGAATGAAACGATTAAAGTTATCAGATTTTTTAATGATTTGACAACCCTTTTCAGTTTTAGCTAATTCTCCAAAAAAGTGTGGTGGTAAATATACACCGCTAGTGGGAGCTTCCATCTGGAGCCTCTTTGAAACGCCAAACTGAGGGTGAAAGGGCTTCTGAAACTGCACTTTCCATTGCGATGACATATGCTGCATTTTCACTGTTGATCCAAAGTTGTTCTTCTTGTTCGACAAAGTTGTTGTTTTGTAAAAGACTTTCCAAACCTTTTGGACTTGAAAGGAATCTAAGTAATAAACTTTTACCTTGTTTACCAAGCTTCAAAAGATTTGGCTTCAAGTCGATTAATTCCTCTAAACATAATTGATCGTCACATGCTTCATCAAGTACATTCAATGAGAGACCAGATACTTTGGTATCAGTATCATTTAATTGTTGAACCAATAGCTCGATACCCCAATTTGAAAAATCTTGTACACCAGATCTTAAAAGGAAACGAAGATATTTGGTGGCTAAATAACGTACAACACGACTGTTTGAAGTAAGAATCTTTTGGAGAATGGTTCTAGATGCCCCGTTAACATTATAATCTAAACTGGTCATAATAAGATGTGATAAATCATCACGACCTGGTAATTCTGCTAATGGCTTGATGTAATCGAAAATGTTATTTCTTGCCAAAATTTCCAAACCCAATAAATTACTACTGAGAGTACCCAACATGGTAAAATATTCTCTTGACATAGTTTTTAAAACTTTTTCTGGATTTAAAAGACGATTGCTGTTTTGTTTATCATTTTCTTTGATTTTACCAGTTGAGAAATCCAACTCGAGCTTTAACATATCTGCAATTTGTATGATGGTTTTATTATCCTTTAAGAAATCAAAACCAATTTCATGAGCGATTAATACTTCCAAGCAAACACAGGCAGTACGGACATATTTGAGATTTTCAGTAGTCCAGGCCATGGTGGAAAAAAGTTTTTTATTTGGACGAAGGAAACTAAGCATTCTTTTAATGAATTTGGTCTTAAGAGTACCTGCCAAGTGTTGTGGGTTATTTAATGGACCTTCTAAAAGTTCAAACATAAGTTCCCAATTCCACTTTTGAAAATCCTTAGTTACCAATACTTGAGTATCTTTAATCTTTTGTTGAAACTGTGCTTCATCCATATGCCAATCCATTTTCATTTTGACATCATCAACTTTATCTAAACGACGATCCTGACCTTTAATACGACGCCACTTGTTGGCACCAGTTAAACCAATGGCTAATGTGCTATCCATAAGAGTAGTAGTTGATTTATTGTGTGAATAGCTGTGAAGATTTGTTACCATGGTATTTGAGGATGATCTTAAACGTGGATCTAATCTAAATGAGATTGCACTATTAACTAATGATGGAAGGGTTTGAAGTTTGGCACATTGTGAGGTGGGAAGCAATTGATTTGACATGTGTAATAGCTCTGCTAATAAAACAGTACTCTTTAATGAGATGTTTCTTGAACGCTCTTTTTCAGATTCAATACCATCTCTATTGACATAATTGCCTAAATATACTAAACCTTCAATGAGACCATTATTAATGAATGCAATTAATAGTACTGATAAATAGTTGTTTAATAAATTATGTCTTAATGATCTTGTACGACTTGGTAAATCTTGAAGTGTTTCTGAACCAAAATTGAATGTTTGGGTTGGTTTCTGTGGTCCAAATGTTTCGGAAATACTTTTTGGTAATTGTACTCTAAAAATTTCAAAAATTGAATCTAAACCTTTTTCCTTTTAATAATAAAAAAAAACAATTGAAAATTAATATTATATTTTATATAATATAATTTTAAAAAAAATATTTACCTGTAATTCAATTTGAGGCATTCTTAATGAATCAACTATTGATTTTAATCCTTGATCATCAGATGTTAATGAAATCAATCCAATCCAACTTTTAATTAAAGTTAAAACAGCTTTTGAGCTAGCAGTCCATCTCTTCATTGCGATTTCATCTTCTTTTTCTTTTTCCTTTTCTTTTTCTTTGTTTCCACCTTTAACTTTAATACCAATATTAAATGAATTTGTTAATGGTGATAAAATAATCTAGAATATTATAATAATAAATTAATTATTAGTATGAAGTTTAAAATAACTATAAAATTAAAAAATAAAATAGTTACCTCTAAATCAGATTTTGGTCTAATATAACATCTTGTATTTTTATCAGATAATAAATATAATATACAAATTAAAAGTGATTCTTGGATACCTTGATAGAATGGATCTAAAACAGCATCGAAAATAGTTCTAATACCACCACAATGAGATGAGATTTGTGGATTACGAATTGAAATTTCAGTTAGGCACTCTAAGCTAACTCTACAAAATCCATCCTCTTGATTTTCAGATAAAGCTACCAATGCTTTAACAAAACAATGTGGCATTAATGAACAATCAATTTCCATAATGGTTCTAATAATCTTTAATGCTTGAATTCTTTCTGATTCACTGTGTTTATCACGTTCTAATGAACGTGTAATAAAAAAGTGTACTTTTAATTCTAATAAATCTTTGATTGATTGTGAATTGCTTAAATAATATCTAATTGCTCTTAAACCTGCTGTTCTAATTGTTTTTGGTGGCAGTGCAATAAATTGTCTTAAACTTGATTTAAAAAAAAATTATATTAACATTAAATACTTTGTAAATTTTATAAAATAATAGGTAAAGGTATACTTTTTAAATATGGTATATTCATTTAAATCTATTTTTGATAAGTCTGGTATAAATTTCTTAAGTTCTACCATTTTATTGATATGGTCCAATTTAATTTTTAAGGTTAAAGACTTTTCATCTAGACATTGTAATGATTCTAACAGTTGTTTCTTTAACTCTGCATTTGATGGATGGGGTGGTGATACCTTGCCATTACTATCACTATATGTCATTCTTCTTTTATTAATTATTTTTTTATTTAAAAAAAAATAATTTAAACTATATTATATATTTATACTTCTTTTACTAATACACAACAAAAAAAAAAAATTATAAACAAAAAAAGAGATATTAAATTTACATATATATATATATAAATAATAAATTATAATACAAAACTATTTTATATATTTATTTGTTTATCTATCTATATATTTTGATTAAATTTCTATAAATAAATAAATAAATAAATTTATTTATTTATAGGACAGAATCAATGTATGTGGTGATTTGAAATATATATATACACAAAAAATTATTTAAACAAATACTATTATATTGTTATTATAAATAAATAAATAAATATAAATATAAATATAAATATTAATAAATATAAAAGTACAGTTTTTTTAATAACAATAAATATTTAATATCTGGTGTGTGTATTTTTTTTTTTTTTTGTTATTAAAAACTTTTTTTTTTTTTAAAATAATTTTTTATTTTTTTAAAAATTTTTTTTTTTTTATTTTTTTTTAAAAAAAATTAAATTTTTTTTTATTTTTTTTCTTTTTTAAATTTATCACATCTCTATTTTTTATTCATAATTTTCTCACCATCTTTGAAGACCTATTTTGTTTTTTTTTTTTTTGGTTATTTTATTTTATTCTATTTTTGTTTATTCATTCTAATAATTGTTGTGTTTGTCAATATTTTTAGTAAAATAAAAATAGTAATTATGCAATTTATAACACAACAACAATCACAGCAAAAACCATTACAAACAATAACATCACCTAATATAAATAATAATAATAATAATAATAATAATAATAGTAATAGCGCTAATGGTAATAGTAATAATGATAATAATAACTCAGCTTTACAACAACAATTACAACTCCAACAAGACCAATTATTTCAAATTCAAATAAAAAGAAAAGAGGAATATAATGAAGCACTTAATGCATGTTTCTCATTAATTGAAACATCTCACCAAGATTACAGGCATGAATCAATTTTCGATTAAATATTTGTGTGATGTGGTGTGTTTTTATTTTGTGTTTAAAATAATTATATTTACAAAAAAAAAAAGAGTTTTCTTTTTTATATATTTAAACTATATAAGTTAGTTTTTTATATATTTAAACATATAGACTTAATATTTATTTTTTATTCATATTCACATAAATAATGTGATATAAGAAAAAAAAGAACAAAATAGAAAGTTTTTTAAAAAAGAAAAAAAAGAAAAAAAAAGATAAAATTGAAACAAAAACAATTTTTTTTTTGTAAATTATAATTTTTGTTTTAATTTGTAAATTTGTTTTTTTTTTTTTTTTATTAAAAATTTTGAGATTTATTCTAACTTTGAAAAACATTTCTTTTTTTTATTATAATATTAATATTAATATCTTTTTTTTTTATAATGATTTATTTAAATTATTTGAAAAAAAAAAAAAAAAAATAAAAAAAAAAAAAAAAAAACTAAATAAAATAAATAACCATACAAATAAATAATCTCTCGAATAACAATAATATTCATACAATAAATTTAAAATATATTTAAACTACAATACTTTTTAAATAAAATGAATATAGAATTGTCAAAGTCGGTGTCCAAAGTATCGTAGAGTTAACTACTTCACCATTTTGTACCAATTCAACAAAAATAAAAATATTAAATTTATTATTGGATATGATTAACAATCCATTATTATACAGGTTAGTATTAAAATACAATAAAAAAAAATAAAAAAAAATAGAATACAATACTAATTCAATTTTTAAATAGTAAAACGGTTATTAGATATTCTATTAAAGGTATAGGTGTTATAGGGTGTCAAGATGAATCATTGGTTACTCCAAGTATCAAATTTTTAGCAAGAATTTTAGAATTTAAAAGTGAAAACTATCAATATACAAAGAAGGTTTGTTTTCATTCTCTTAGTAGAATAGGGAGAAGATACCCAGTTTATCAATCGCTCTTGCTAGCTCTCTTTGAAAAGTATTTTATGTCACCAAACTCGTCAATCGATGTTATTTCCTCAATTTTATTAGCATATGCACGTCTTTCCCAAACCAATTCCCAAATTAGAGCAATGTGCATGAAAAGGTGGCTTGAAGCAATTGAGTCTCCAGTTTCACATTCAAAATCTGCTGGTATTTTATCATTAGGGTATGCTTCATGCCCAACTGGTAGTGAGTATCGTTTTATTATTTTTTTATTTAAATTTTTTTTATTTATTTTTTATTAACTATTTTTTTTTTTATTAAAAAAATAAAGATATTGTCAATGATAAAAACATTGAATCTTTATGTTATAGTAAATCAATAGAATGTTTACAATTCCATAAAGTTTATGAAGTCATTGAAGATGAACAGAATGATCCTTGGAAAATGGAAAATGTGTACCAAGTTCAAGTATCGGCATGTAAAGCTTTGGGATTATTAGCAAGATCAAACACAACCGAATGGTTACCTAAAATTTCAAAAATATTTAAAACGATTCTTAGTAGCACCAGATATGCAGGTCCAGTAAAAGCTCAAGTACTTTTAAACTATGGTCAAATTTCCTACTATTTAAATACCAGCTCACCATTTTTCACTCCACTAAAAGTTCTATTATTTGAATTAAGTGCCGATGATAATAGTTTAATCTCTGTTCCAAGTTGCCAATCGTTAACAAAGTTTGCACTATCTCATGATAGTAACTACTCTGAAGTTAAGCAAATCCTTCGTTCAAAATTACCAAATATAAAAGTAGCTAAACAAGACCAAATTGAAATGTATTTAAAAACATGGTGTAAATTAATCTCTAAAAACTATCGTCCAATCCTTAATCAGTGCTCATCTATTATTAGTCCATTATATTCAGATCTATATGACCCAAAGTCTCAGCTTTCAAACCAACTATCACTCTTAAAGAATAGGCCAGCAATAGAACCCAATCAAACCAATCCCACAAACCTGCATTTGTTTGACAATGCTTTCAATGACTACCAACAGCTGGTATCGATTTGTAAATGCTTTTCAATGGTTGTCATTCAAGCAATTTTAGCACTTTTCAAGAAAGCCTCATTAATTGATCATGTACCATATAGAAAAGCATTAAAGGAAAAAATTATTCAACAAAAATTAAAAGGTTTTTCCTCAACTAGTAACGAAAACTATGATGAAGCATTAAAAGAACTAAGCTCCGATCCAATAAAAAGAGAGGTTTTTTTATCAGTTATTAATAGCCCTGATCAATTAATGGACAACCAAATATTTTTTCAAAAAATTAAACAATATCATCAAAAATTTAACTCATCATCTCAAAAAACTGATACAAAACCTGTTGATCCCAGATTGGAAAAGAAAAATTTATTTAAACCATTACCACTTATAGGCCAACCAACCACCTCCACTACTTCCACAACAACATCAACAACTAGCACTACAGAATCTTCTAAAAATGTTGAATCTTCAAATATAACCACCTTATCACCAACAGGCACTCCCGTTAAAAACAAAACTTCAAAACCAGTAAAAATTGAAGCCTCTCCAATTTCTGCAATGCTAGCCGCCACCAACTCTCAAGATGAAAACAATAAATCTGGAGAGAAAAAAAAAAGCTTATTTGCACCATTACCACTAATTACTCCCCCAAAACCTCCTGGCTTGGTCTCAAATGATATTAACTCGCCATCACCAACACCCTCATCAAGTGTAAATAATGCCCAAACCATTACAACAGATTCTTTACAATCAAATACTAGATCACCATCACCACCATTATTAATGGCTGATAACAATAATAGTGCTAATAATAATAATAATTTAATTAAAAAAGCAATCGAAAATCAAGATAATATTAATAGCAAGCAAATCACCGCGGCACCAGTTATGGCAACAGGTCAGGACTCAACAACACCAACAAACCCAATACCACAACCCACACCAAATATATCTAAAAAGAGTCTATTTTTACCATTACCATTAATAAATAAAAGCCCCAGCATCACCTACACCATCGGCAACTGAAGCAACAAAAAGCTCAACAACTGTGTTACCAACACCCCCTATTCAAAAAACACCGCCACAACCAACATCACCACCAATCAAAAAAAGTTTATTTTCACCATTACCACCAATTTCCTCATCACCAAAACAGTCACCCACCGAAACAACCCCATCACCACCAATTGTGTCACAACCAACGACAAACATATCACCATCAATCATCAAAAAAAGTCCATTAAAACCCTTGCCATTAATCTCCTCAACAACTCCGTCCACCTCCACACCACCAAGCACTACAACCATAACACCATCTAATCATCCATTAAAGAGACCAAATGTTGAAATTTATCAACTACCACCAACTATTAAAAAGACAGCATCAACATCTACCACTACATCCAAAAATCTTTCACTTGGTGCCAAACTAATGGGTAATTGGCAACAACCACCACAAATAACAAAAAAACCACCAAGTCCATTTAAACCATTACCATTAATCCAACCCAACAACTCTATACCTACTACTACCACATTAACACCCAATAGATCGAATCTTAACATTTCAAATGATCCTATTCCAAAAGAAAACCCAAACAAAATGGAAATTGAAAAACCAATACAATCACAAAAACAATTTAATAATGAACCATTAATTACCAATAGAGATAACTTAAATTATAGCGAGAACGAAAGCAATGAAGAAGATGATAGCAATGTAGAAGATGACGATGACGATGAACTAATGATTGACGATGGTGGTAACGGTATAAGCATTGAACAACCAGATACGACATCATTTATTAAAAAAAGAAAAACAAATACACTTATTCTTCCAGACTCTGATGATGAATCAACAACAGTACAAGGCAATCATCAACAACAACAAAATGAATATCAATCATCAGAATCAGGTGAATCAAAGGATATCAATAAGAAAAATATGAAAATGAAAATGAAACAACAAAATCAACAACATCAACATCAACAACAACAACAAAAACAAAAACAACAACAAAAACAACAGCAAAAACAACAGCAACAACAAAAACAACAACAACAAAAACAACAAAAACCAAAAGCTAAAAGAGAAAGAGAAAGAGAAAAAGAAAGAGATTTAGATACAACAAATTCAGAGAAAAAAGAAAAGAAATTAAAAACCAATCCAACCACTGTAAACTTTGAAGAAACCATACTTTATCAAGATGTCGACTTTTCCAAATCTAAAAACCTACCAGCAATATGCTCTTTTTACAAAATTGGTATGTGTAAAAAAGGAACAGAGTGTACCTTTCTTCATGAAGGACCAGTTGAAATACGTAAACCAACTGAACTATGCAAATTCTTTAAAACTGGAAATTGTGTTAGAGGTGCAAACTGTACTTTTTCCCACGATCTCACTATGGAACCTTGTAAATTTTATAACTCTCCCTCTGGCTGCACCAACACTGAATGTCAATATGGTCACCGTTTAATTACACCACCTTTGAACCCATCCACCTCCCCTGTGCAACTTTCAAACTCACCAGTACTTTTATCAACGAATTTAAATATTGACCATCAACAACAGCAATTACAACAACAGCAATTACAACAACAATCAAATCCCAAATTATTTGGTGTTTCTTTTCAAATAGATAATAATAATCAATATTTCCACCAACAAAACTCACCCCCACAATTACCTAGCCAATTGCCTCAACTTCCTCAATAAAATATACCATTTATTTATAAAATTAAATTTTAATTTTAATTTTATTTAAATTTCATAACCCATAAAATATATATATTTTACAAATATTTTTAATTAAATTTTATTTCATTTTATCTTTTTTTTTTTTTATTCAGATATTAAAAATTATTATTATTTTTTTTATTTTTTTATTTTTTAATAATTTATTTTTTTTTTAATTTATTTTTTAAAAATTTAATTTTTTTTTTTATTTTTTTTTTTTAAATAAATAAGACAACTCTGGTTACAGTTATTATTTCGTACAGAGGGTTATAACTATCTTTGTTAAATTTTTGTTTATTCTAACAAATAATTTTGTATCACCTAAAATAATAATATTTTTTTATTTTTTAATTTTTTATATTGTGTGTGTTTCTTTTTTTTTTTTTTTTACAAAGAGAAAAAGTGAAAATTTTTATCATTATTTATTTTAAAATAATTTCGTGCACACTACAGATAAAATAAAGCTATTATTTTAAAGATAATAGTTTTTTTAAAAAAAAGCCAATATAAAATATTTCTAATAATTATTTTATAATATAAAACAAATAAATAACAATATAAAAACTAAAATGAAACTAATAATAAAATTAATATTAATAGTGTTAATATTTAATAATATAACGATTCTAGTAAATAGTACCAATAGCAATAGCAATAATAATAATAATAATAATAATAATAATAATAATAATAATAATAATAATAATAAATACCATAATGGCAAAAATGACAAATATAGCAATCAAAGAGAAGATGATAAACTAGATATGGATTCACATGCATTTAATAGCTATAGCACAACTAAACAATATACAACCTTATTCCAACAAATTTCAGATAGAATATTTTATCACGGTGATTATTATAGCGATTTATCAACAGCAATTACACAATTTGGTAACTTTATAGGAAGTCTTAAAAGCGGCTCTTTTAAAAACTCATTAAAGTCACGTAAACATACAACTAAAGAAACTAATGAAAACAATGAAGAATCATCATATTTTACACCATCACCTTTATTATCACCAAGCACATTTTTGCAACAACAAAGAATAGAAATGTTACAACAAAAACAACAAAAACACAACTATCAAACCCAACACCAATATAAAACATTAGATAAAAAATCTATTACCGAAAGAGATGCAAGTTTAACCTTAGGTGAACACCCAATAAACGATGGTTTAGAAGAATGGTTCAAAAACAATAAACCCCAAAAACTCCTATTAGAGAAAAAAGAATCACAACTTAAAAACAATCTTCTTCATGGTACAAATGTTGCCTCTGTTTGCAACTCTGGTGTAGTAGTCAAAGACGATGTTTCAGTTAATACATGTAAAGGTGAAACATGTTATATCAACGAGATGAATTGTAATGGCAAAAACATTCTGTCAATAACTTTAACCTCATACGACAAAACTATCAATTATGATCTATGTCAATTTACGTCTGTAAGTATAT